AATAATTTGAAAATCTTCGTGCACGTGTTGCACCCAAGAAAGTGATGGTACAACCCAATGGCAAACATTAGCTCGCAACAAGAACCTACAAGAAACGCAAAAATCCATCAAGAGAAATTGATTGACAAGCATCAGCCATCAGGTGTGCAACTCTGAGCTTAGTTTGTCGCTTAGTCCGGTTCAAAGGGGGAACTGTGAGTTTGCTTCTACGCCATAATGACAACACATTCGGTTGCATGAAACATAGCAGCATAGCATATGAATACGAGCTGACTGCCGATCAGGAACCCTGTAGTCAGAGGCCAGCGAAGCCAGCGAAGCCAGCGAAGCCAGGTGTCTCACAAGCACTGTCTGGCACCGCCTGCCGGAAGAATGCAGACCCCAAACAGTGCGTAGTTACGATTCGAAAGGGGAAGGTGGAAAGGGTCTTTAAAAAAATTGGCCACAAGCTAGCAGGACAAGAGCGACCCTAGTAGTGAAAGCATTGTGTTGCAAGTTACCTTTGTGAAGATCTCCATACAAGATCGTGCGCAAGATCTCCTTGACAGGTTCTCTGTAGAAGCTGCTGTGCAAGATCTCCGCGAAGGTCGACTGTACAAGGTGTCTACAGGAGATCTCCACGGAAAAATCTTTGTAAGGGATCTCAAAATAAGATCGCTGATCAAGCTAGCTATCAACGATCTCCGAGCAAGACTTTACTTTCCTCACCGAGCCTCTGTACAAGAACTCTATAAGAGATTTCATGGTAAGATCTCTGTGCAAGATCTCTATAAGAGGTCTCTTGGCAAGATCTCTGTACAAGCTCTCTATACGAGCTCTCCTGGCAAGACCTCTGGAAGATGCCTCTTGGCGATCTCTGCACAAGGTGTCTCTAAGAGCCCTCTATACAAGATCTCTACAGGATGTCTCCGTGGCAAGATCTCTTCGCAAGCTCCTAGAAATTGACAGGGAAGATGCCGGCCGTAAGAACCCCAGGTGTGGCACACTGTTTGGGGAACGATGTGAGCGGCGCCTTCAACCGGCTCTCTGGGATCCACGACTCACAGTCTGGTTGACGGTGAACACCTCCAAGCATGGGCCGGCAGATCACCGAAAAATCTTGAGGATTCAGTCAACCTCCTAAAAGCTGACAATCCCAACTAGATCCAAATAGTAGATGATTATTACCCTCTACTATGGGTTGTTGGTGAATACTTCGTCATTTAAAAACTTTTTGGTTTGGGGGGGGCACCTTTGAGCCTTGCAGAGGAAGGGCAACTACTCGGGTCTTAAACCTTATCAATTCCATGCTATTCGCCAACAGAAACCAAGTGTCAAAAAAATATATGTTACCTATTAGGACTCCCACTCATTAGACAATGATCCCCGAATACTTGAGTAACAAACCCCGTCTTGTTGGCCGCATTAAAACTATATGCCCCATCTATATCCATCAGTACCCATCAACTCAATCCATTCGAAACAGTCAAGGAACAGGGTGCACAACTTAAAGTGCAACCTAGGCGCTTCGGGAAAGTAGATATTTTCCATCTAACGCAATCCCATAGACAAAAAGGCGATGTGTGCTGCCACTGCTGTCCTCATAATCCACCGCAGCACCGAGCCCATATTTGACAGGCATGGCTAACAAGTAGCGCAGCGTGACCGAGCTTGAAACTGAAAGGGCTGTGCAACAGTCACAACCCAATAGACTGGCTAAGACAAAAATTTGTCTAATCCCTATTCTGTAGAAATCTGACTATTAGGTAGACTTTTTTTCTAAGATAACTTTTTTTTGTCCAAGACAAATTTTGAAAATTTGTCTTAGACAAAAAAAAGTTGTCTTAGACAAAAAATATTTGTCTTAGACAGTTTTTTTGTCTTAGCCAAATTGAAACTACATCAGTTTTTTCAAACTGCCTCAAAACTGCCTCAAAACTGCCTCCAAAACTGCCTCCAAACTACCTTATCATTTTTCTATCATTTGGCGGAGGGTGTGCAAAAAGTATCAAAGAGTAAGAGAAATAGTGAGGCAGTTTCCCCAAAAATCCCCAAAAAAGTGAGGAAGTTTCCCTTTAAAACATGAGGTAGCTTGAAGGCAGTTTCACAAAACACACGAGGAAATTTCAAGGAAATTTCCTCGAAACTTCCTCACGGAGGATTGGCAAAAAATCTGCTTAGACAACTTTATTTGTCTAAGACTGGTGTCTTAGACAAATTTGTCGAGCAAAAATTTGTCTAAGACAAATTTTTAAAATTTGTCTATTAGACAAATTTAAAAATCTGAGACTATTAGACAAATTATTGGGAACAATTCAAGATGCAGAGACGCTGCCACAGTCTTAAAGGCACGAGGGCCAGTCTTAAGGCACGAGGGCCGGTCTTAAGCCACGAGGGCCGGTCTTGAGGCACGAGGGCCAGTCTTAAGGCACGAGGGCCAGTCTTAAGGCACGAGGGCCAGTCTTAAGGCACGAGGGCCAGTCTTGAGGCACGAGGGCCCGTCTTAAGGCACGAGGGCCAGTCTTAAGGCACGAGGGCCAGTCTTAAGGCACGAGGGCCAGTCTCAAGGCACGAGGGCCAGTCTTGAGGCACGAGGGCCAGTCTTAAGGCACGAGGCCAGTCTTAAGGCACGAGGGCCAGTCTTTAAGGCACGAGGGGGAGAGGCCAGTCTTAAGGCACGAGGGCCAGTCTTGAGGCACGAGGGCCAGTCTTAAGGCACGAGGGCCAGTCTTGAGGCACGAGGGCCAGTCTTGAAGCACGAGGGCCAGTCTTAAGGCACGAGGGCCAGTCTTGAGGCACGAGGGCCAGTCTTGAGGCACGAGGGCCAGTCTTGAGGCACGAGGGCCAGTCTTAAGGCACGAGGGCCAGTCTTAAGGCACGAGGGCCAGTCTTAGGCACGAGGGCCAGTCTTGAGGCACGAGGGCCAGTTTTGAGGCACGAGGGCCAGTCGGACAAGGTCAGGGGTCAGAAAAACCAGGGGTCAAAAAAACAGGTGCCCAGGGGTCAAAAAAACAGGCAGGGGTCAAAAAAACAGGGTCAGGGGTCAAAAAAACATTGGGCCCGCCTTAAGGCACGAGAAAAATCAAAAAATTCAAAAAATTCAAAAAAAATGAAAGTCCCAAAAAGAAAGAAATGGAATTCAAAAAATTCAAAAAATTCAAAAAAATTATGTATTCACTTTTTTTTTGATTTTTTTGAATTTTTTGAATTCAAAAAATTCAAAAAATTCAAAAAAAATATGTATTCACTTTTTTTTTGCATTTTTTGAATTTTTTGAATTCAAAAAATTCAAAAAAAAAATGAAAGTCCCAAAAAGAAAGAAATGGAATTCAAAAAATTCAAAAAAAAAATATGTATTCATTTTTTTGAATTTTTTGAATTCCATTTCTTTCTTTTTGGGACTTTCATTTTTTTTTTGAATTTTTTGAATTTTTTGAATTAAAAAAAATCAGAAAAAAATATGTATTCATTTTTTTTTAATTTTTTGAATTTTTTGAATTCAAAAAATTCAAAAAATTCAAAAAAAAATATGTATTCACTTTTTTTTGAATTTTTTGAAATTTTTGAATTCAAAAAATTCAAAAAAAATTATGTATTCACTTTTTTTTTGATTTTTTTGAATTTTTTGAATTCAAAAAATTCAAAAAAAATATGTATTCATTTTTTTTTAATTTTTTGAATTTTTTGAATTCAAAAAATTCAAAAAATTCAAAAAAAAATATGTATTCACTTTTTTTTTTAATTTTTTGAAATTTTTGAATTCAAAAAATTCAAAAAATTCAAAAAAAAATGAAAGTCCCAAAAAGAAAGAAATGGAATTCAAAAAATTCAAAAAATTCAAAAAAAATATGTATTCATTTTTTTTTTGAATTTTTTGAATTCCATTTCTTTCTTTTTGGTATATAGATTAACTAGTAGGGATTCTCCAGAAAGAGGTATAATTTCAATAAAATCCTTTCGACATGCAAACGTTCAAATAGTACATAAAGGTCCATCGTACATATATATATATATACCATACATGGATCCTATGGATATTGGGGATCCTGAAGCCCTACCAGAGAACTACTCGGAGCTCTTACCCTGCAGAATGATTTTTGATACGCAAGGATTCGTAAGGATTGCCCAAGAGCGACAGGGCACCTTTTTCCAACTCGTTGAGGCAATCCTCAAACCCCACGGCGAGATCCGACACCAGGACATGCGCTGATGTGGTCGGGATTTCATGGATAATGAATCTATCATTGTTCAATAATACATAGTTCAATAAAGTTATCATGGTCATAATAATGCTTATAATGCTTATCTTAGATCATTTATCATATCATAGTTCAATTTTTAGTTCAACAAAAATCATGGTATATCATAGATTAAGTCGATTAAGTGGTAGATAATAACATCTTCAGTTCAACCTGTTCCACTTATAGTGTTTGCATGTCCCAACCCCCGTCTCTGCATGGATTGGTTCTGTTGGAGAAAATCTTCATCCGACCATCCCGTCACACCATCTCACACCAGGGACCCAGGATGTTTTGGGATGTTTTGGGATGGCTTATCAAAGCCCATCCATTCGTGTTTCATAACCCCAAATCAAACCCAACTATGGATGATCTTCCGCAAAAAAAAACATCGTTTTTTGCATTTCTCAACCCCCAATCCGAAATCCCATCCCATCATGGAAAAAACGATGAATGGATGACCCATCCCATCCCGTCATGGATAAACATAAGTGATATAAGTGACTTAACCATCAACCCCCATAGTTGAATCATCAAAAACTATATGGTTTCAAGTTTCAACCATGAAAAACCATAGTTTCAATCATCATCAATCATGGTTTTTTCGGATGGGATTGTTTTTCAACTATATGGGATGGTTTTTTCAATTCATCACCATGGTTTCAACCATGAAAAACCATCAATCATCCCCATCCCATCCGAAAAAACGCCTCGCTAGGACCGCTGTTCCAGTTGTGCACGCCTCTCCGAGTCCGAGACGCTGGGTGAAAAGGCGCCAGAGCGATGCCGGTGCGGGGTCCTGGAGAGCGCGAAGTTGAAGTTACCATGTTTGAAGGTAGGACGGTGTGTATGTATATTATATTATATTATATATAATTTATCTATCTAATACATATATATATATAATTATATATATATATATATTATGATTATATATGATTTTATATGTGATATATGTGAGAATGAAAAAATGGGCCGCCCCTGATCCTCACCAAATTTATTGCTCATTGGTAGGTAAACCAGTGGTTCAGAGGAGGATCCCAATTCTAAGCAACGCCCGTTGATGGACAACATGACAGTGTAGCAGGCTGGATTTGCTCCTGAAGTAGCATGGGCTTCTAAGCTGAGCAATATGTAGCTATACTGACTATAGTGCTCAAATATGCTCAAGATCAATTCAGGAACCAAAAATCAAAAAAAAAACACATGTGAAAACATGAAGAGGAAACCAACGGGGTTCGGTCAGGCCCCAACGGGTTTTTTGTTGATGCATCAGATATACATCGAGGTATTGCGGCAAGAAGAACTATGGCTATCCATTCTTCTGAGCCCTCCAAGTTCGCTGCGAGATTGACCTGTGATGCTGCGGCAAATACTGCCATGTCTTAGGAATTTGTTTTATTCACCACCTGGTATCCGATATCCTGCAGTGAAACCAGGAGTCCAACACGTCAGGATTGTTCTTTGGAATGGTTTTTTCTGTTTGCAATAGAGTGTCTGCAACTTCAGTACTTCATGGATAGCAGCCAGTCAACGGATAACATGTGGATTTTCTCAGGTTTGCAACCCATGTTCGCAAGAATTTTGAGCAACGTCGAAGATATCGTGGGCAGAGCGCAGAGATGAACTAAAATAGAGGAATATGGCCTATGGCTATATGTTCTCCAGTTTGGGACTCCTCAACTATTTGTTTGTTTCTGGGCTAGAAGAGACCATGTTACTGGAGGGTTCAGGCATTCCTCCACGATCATCCATGTTCCTCCAATTTGTTTATTGCTTATAATCCATTGGATGAATGGACACAGGACTACAACCAATCATGGACAAATTGGATTCTATTTTTTTAAAATTAAACTCATTAAAATATGTTTGCATACCTTGGAGCGGGCCAACCAAATCAGCACTTCATGTCCTATGTATCATTGATCCACCAAAAATCTTCCTGGGCAGCTATGCGATTGGTACCTGCTGAAGCAGAATAAGAGAAGCCCACGACGTCATGCTGAAGATAGGGATCTTGAAAAATAGGCGTTTGTTTATGGGTTTAAGATCGTTTGAAAAAAAAAAGCAAAACTTGTCTAACTTGTCTTATTCCATCCCAAAACACAGGTATAGGTAAAGGGCTGGGTATGCGAAAGAGAACATTTGATCATATGGGGATGGGTCAAAACCCTATCCCCCTGGTGAACATCAAAATAGCTGGTAAATGGATGTTCATCCCCCTAAAAATGGTATGTATAGGTATTGATCCATAGCCATATCAACGAAAGGCAATTTTATTGTGGCAATTTGAGCTGCGCTCTTCGGCAAGCCACAAAAGCTGGCGGAGGCTGATTGTCCTGGCTGGCGGGTTTCACTGGGATCTTAGGGGTAAAAGGATTAAGACACACTTGGCAGATGGACCAGCCATGTTTTATATGTGATCTATAGGAATCATCTACTAATCATCCCATTCAAACCCATTCAAACCGGATACATGGCTTGACCAACAAATATTTTTTTCAGAAATCTTGCCACAATTGGGTTAGGGAATCCAAAATATCACCATTTCAAAAAGTCACCAGCTGCCGCCGGTGGCCAGGCGATGGTCCCAATGATTTTTATTTTTCCTGCAATGTGAGGCCCCCCAGTTATAAGTTGGTTTATAAGCCCCAGTAACTATAGTTATAAATACCATAAACCATGGTTATTGGACTTATAATCCAACGTAGCTATCTTGGGGGCCTCACATTGTACTAAACCATGGTTTCGTTTAGGGGGTGATGAAAAAAATGGGGGGATGGGATTGTAGTGCTGTGTTGTTTGTTTCAGTTCCCCAAAATAGGCCCAATAACAATCTTCAAATCTTTAAGAACTGGAGAGAGGTAGAAATTTGAATAATTTTGGGGGGGGTTCAACTTCAATTGACCAAACTGTTTTTACCATGGTGACTTCCAGTCAAGCCAGTTCAACTCAATTCTAGTCGCTTTCAACAAACCCATGATTGAATTCACTGGAAAGTACAGTTATGGCCCAAAATACCAGTTATAAGTACTAACAAAACCCCATTTATAGAATATATAATCCCATTTATCACCAGTTATAATTGATAAATGGCCATAACTGTGGAAAGTCGTCACTGGCTGTAAAAAAAAACAGTCAAACCCCAGGACCCCTTCAGGACGGTCGTCTCGCAGGGATGAGCGAAAAGGAATTTTGGGACCATCCGGGACCCATAAATCACCGTGGGTTTCATGGGATTTTCAGATGTTTTCATATGTTTTTGTTTCCTATATTGTGGTTGTTTAATGTTTTTAATATGGTTTTCTATGGTTTTCATATGGTTTTATCATCTCTTAGCCGTTCCATGTGGGTTCAGTATCAATATATGAATGTGATTCATGCCATATTCAAGCCATGTTTGATGTATTGCGCGAATGATCAAAAAGATGAAAGGGATGCAACCCTATAAAGATCTTTAATGCTCGCAAGTATATAATAGGCAATTTCCAATAGGTATACCTATAGTATAAAAACCATAATACCATCAGGAGATCTATAATACCAAAAGTCTATAAGTATATAATAACCTCCGCCTCCTGACTTTTGATTTATAATGCGTATATGGAGGTTTCCATAAATTGGGATCTCCAATAGCTGGTTGGTTTATATTAGAGAATCCTATTATATAACATGGATTTTAGTCATGCGGTACCCCCATGACTCAGGAAACCTCCATATAATATCATATAATAAGCTCCTGACTTTTGCTGGCAATTTCCTATCACGGAACTTTAGGGCTTAGCCCTGGGATATCCTGGCATGGTAGCTCTTGGGTGCCCTTTTTGATTTCCCGGCCTAAGACTTCAAGATTTGGATCCAGGTTCGGAAAAGTCTGATATCTTTGAGTATGTAATCTATTATAATCTTACATATTGATTTTAAATGTCTATAGAAAGTAAAGATTTAAATCCTAGCTTACTATAGCTTTGTTGTTTTTTACGGTCCAGAGATAGGTTTTCTGCCTGCGGACCCTGAAATCAGGCGATTTCCCGAAACCGTGCCGGAGCTCCTGGCAGCCACACTGAAGGCGGGTGTAGATGCGCCAGGTTGATGGGTGATATGCACGAAGCTCCTGGTAAACTAAGAGTTTGCGAACTGGAAAAATCGGCATTTTGGATAGGTCAATCAACTATAACCTAGGGGAAATCACCATTTTGAATAGGTCAATCAACTATAACCTAGGGGAAATCACCATTTTGAATAGGTCAATCAACTATAACTGATTATAACTGGCCATTTTCAATAGCTATATGTTAAATTACCAGAGGTTAATTGGCGAGTAGAAAACAAGCCATCAACGAGAATCCCGTTTTCAAACAATTATACCGTATAATATCGACATTTCGGGTTGTGAATTGCTTTGAACACTATGGTCAATGGATTGGTTTAAGGGAAAATCTACAGGAAACCATAGATTTTCCCATTAAGTATTGGGTTTTCCTGTAAAATTTCCCTTAAACCAATCCATTGATATGGATGATGGTGTATGTTTATGGTTTGAAGTTGAATGCGACGACTTTTGGTGTCGTTGTTTTGTCTCATGCCAGGACTTCGCAGGAAAACATTTAAAAACGAGTTGAATCGGGGGATTCCAAACCCAGGATGTTGAGAAATATTGAGACATAAAATATAAGGTTACAATATATATATATATATATATATCAATATGTAAATATATATCAACCAATACTACCTTAAATGATGTCAGATATATTCCAGATATCATTTAAGGAGGTTTCCTAAAATATGGCTACTCCAAGCGTTAATCCGGGATGATGGTATGGATGATGGGTCCCCCATTTTAGGAACCCTCCATTAACTGGTTGTAGATACTGTGGATCCCGGGGATCGCGGACAGGAGTGGCGTTATGTGCTTCGTCGACTGCTTTTATTTGCCTTCTTCTTCGTATGGCCACTTGCCAGCCATCGGCATATTCCCATGATTTCCCATGTCTCCGTGGATAGTGGGAGCATATTCCAAGGATGTCCAAGATCTTCGTCTGAAAATTGGGTATCCAAGAATCCGTGATCTTTAACGAATCTTCCGCGTGGAATAGCCAGTTTCGGTACTCCAGATGTGATTGTTGATCAAAGCCATTTGTTCTGAGATTGCTTTCAGAGGGCTGAGATTTCATTTCTGGATGAAATTCAGATGCGGCAACCATCTTGTGCTTGATGGCGCTAGATTTACATGTGGTTGCAGTTTAATCTTTCAAGTCATGGCTGGGTATGGTTTTTACGGTGTTTCATGGTGTTTCCTTGTCTTCTGTGACACTGAGAAATACAGAGCATTTTGCAACATGCAGTTTAATGGGTTTACATGGTTTTAGCATAGTTTTACCTTATCACCACAAGAAATGCTGGGAAAAACAAAAATGGGTGGTACTGGTACTCCCTTTCCTGGTATGTTTTCTTCTTGAAGTTCACATCCGATCACTGTTCCAGCCATCCATTGGACAAAGGTTGTACACTCTAGCCGAGCACTACTGCGTCCAAGAAGGCAATATCGACAAGGCGGTCTTGAACCAGAGACCACGGTTTTTTTTCTGGGATGTTTCAAGTATGTTCAAATCCCATCAAGTCGCCTAGATCTGCTTTGATCTGCTCCATTTTCCCATTGCAATTCTTGGAATGAATGTCCCTCAACTTACTTCATTCAAAAAACAGATGGTCCCACTTTGAGATGGAAAGACACACCGAGATCAGTTTTCCATCCGGCAATTCAACAGCTCGCGAAAATCTGAATGGTTCAGAAGTAACTCATCGAACTAAATGGTGAATATTCATTAATAGCTAATAGCTACAGACCTGGGCCTGGGATATTGACTCAACAATCACTGGTAAACATGATGTAACATGATGTAACACGATGTAACATGATGTAACATGATGCAACATGATGTAACATGATGTAACATGATGTAACATGATGCAACATGATGTAACATGGTGTAACATGGTGTAACATGGTGTAACATGGTCAAGAGCTACGACAACAACATACAACGATTACAACGTGAGAATAGTGAGCAATGATTTGGCTGGTTGAACATCATTTCCATGCGACCTGGGATGATGCAGTATTGTTCAGGGGGTCACTTAACTACCAACCAGTCAAGGGGTTAGATGTTTACAGACTTTTTCCCAAGCGATATGCATTTCGAACATATTGAACTACACTTCAGCGTATCCCCGAAATGCATCGACATGCAGCTTCCATTTCACTTTGGGGTTAAGTACCTTCCAATGTTCCCATGTTTACAGATGTAGTCCTATTGGTGTTGTATGTGTGTTGGGCAGCATCAGAGTCGTTGCCTGGAAGTTGGACAAGTGGAAAATATATAAACATCTACAGTGTAATCTACAGAACACATTTCTGGTTGGTGGTTCAGTGGTTTGGAACATTTTTTAATTTTCCATTCAGTTGGGAATGTACTCATCCCAACTGATGAACTCATATTTTTCAGAGGGGTAGGGCTCAACCACCAACCAGATTTGGCATTTAACATCCTCTCCAAAAAACGCAGTTTCTGAAACTCCGAAATCTCCAATCTCGGCGAAAAAAGAAACAAATCACCCAGCAACCCAGCAGAAGTTTTGCATCCGATGCAATCACTGTAAAATCTCCGCCCTCAGGAGGTTTGTATCTTGCTGGCATTTACAGCCCCTTTGATGGGCGTCTCCGTGAGCCAGCGGTGTCTTGCCAAGATACGTGACCCAAAGTGTTGAAAGGATGAATCAGCCTCTGGTTATTTAACTTTGCGATGGAAGCCGGGAAGATCACTGTTGCTGAATTTGTGTGGGAAGCTCCTGGGACCTCCAACTGATTGGGTCGTGTACTCCATGTTTACTGTTTGTCTGTATATATATATATATAATACAGATATTAATAAATAATATTACATTATACATATATATATATATTATAGTTATATAATTATATAATATGATATATATACACGCATTTGCCTCTTGAACGTGGTTACCCGCTCTGAACCAAACTTGCCAGTTGAAAAACATTGCCAGTTGGCTCAAAGGTTCCATCGTGGTATTCAGATGATCTGGCACACACCTAACAGGCCCATGGCTGGGAGGTGGGTTTTTACAACAGAAGAGAGTCAGAAAAAATGCTACTCACTGGCTGTGGTCTTCTAACTCCAAAGAGTGTTGCCTGGGTATTTGATGAAAAATTGGGCTTAGCATCCACAACTTGGTTTTTGGCGCCCCAAATGTGCATGACAAGTGCTGATCAAGAGCATGGTCCATTTGCGTGCAGAGCATCCAGTCAATGGCTATCTCAATGGGTTGGGTGAAGAAATTCCGCACTCGGCACAGTTATGGCCCTTTACCAGTTATAAGTACTAAGAAAACCCCATTTATAGAATATATAATCCCATTTATAACCAGTTATAATTGATAAATGGCCATAACTGCAGGTGGCGCTATTTTCAAATCTTCGGCTTTTTTGCGATGCTGTTTTACTTGGTACGGAAGCCCGGCTGCCTCCAGGATCTCATCCGGTTTCTCATGTTGAAACATGTGGTTAGGGCCAAGAGGCTAGAAAAAGAAAAAACTATGTGGGTAAGCTCTGATCATTAATTTCACATCCACGAATTGCTAGAACTTGAGTTGTACTCTGTTCCTTTTCTGGATATCTAAAGCCATCTTTCACTCCTTAGATGATTCAATGGAAGTTGCTGTAGAAGTCCACCATAAATGCAACAGTAAACCTAAGTAAGAACAATACAAGGTCTTACCTGTAATGTATGTATATGTATATTATGTGTATATATATATATATATTTATATTAAATTATATATATACATATTATCATATAGATATTATATCATATATATATATACATATTGTACATAGTATATCATATATATATATTATAAGATATATATATAGTATATTATATATATACTTGGATGTCCAACTCATCAGTCGCCTGGCGCGAAGCAACTGCGAGGTGTCCCTGAAGGCTTTCCAACCTCAGCGTTGGGCGGAACTTGTTCGAGAGCAGCCCTGGTTGGCATGGCTGCATCAGGCACCAGACTTTGAGAGTTTTACAGAAAATTCATGGGTAAAGCTTGGTTGTTTGAAATTGATTAACATGTGTAGTGAATTAGTTAATCATAGTTAATCAATAGGGAAACGGTTCAGACCTAGCTTAGGATAGATTCTTCTGCTGGATTTCTCACATTGACCAGGAAGTGCTGGTATACCACTGTAACCTCTGGCTGCAAAACATTGCAGTTGAACATGTTCCATGTTCAGATAACTTACACACCAATTTGAAATAGGGATGTTGAATTGCCAGTTGCATTGCCAAAATTTAACTTAGTTTACAACAATTGTTGCATTGCCAACTTAGTTTTTTTAACAATTGACAATTGTGAAACAACATCAACTAGTTTCAATGTGACACAACAGGGTCGGCTTCACAGCCCATTTCACCTGGCCAACCTCGGCTAAGCCCAGCGACCCAGCGGGGAGGCTCACTACACCATCCATACGTCCGTCCTGGGCACCTTCGTTCTCTCTTGTGTCTCTTGCTTGTTGGGCCTCTCAGATTGCCAACTCATTTGTGACAAAAGATTGGGAGGCGATTCTTGACTATGGGTTTATCATTCCATAAGTGGGGTGACTTACTGACTTATACCTTATAATAAAGGACAATAGTCATCCAAAGATGAGTTGCTGTAACATGTGTGATCTTGCGTGGCTACCGAAAAAAGGGGCCCTGAAATGAATGAAGTATTCTCGCTAAGACAGGAGGAAGCACACTCCAGCAGTTGTTGATCGTTCATCCTAGTGACCTCCAAAAGTCTGAATTGACTCAAAGATCATACACACTAGAGAAGGAAGTGAGCACAGCAATTCCGAATATTTACAAGCTGGTATGTCCAAAAAAGAATGGGCACCAATCAGAGTCCCCTAAATTGGTCAATGTCAGTGGTGATGATAGTGGCAAACTTCTAGGTTTGAGGGCCGTGGTAAATGCCAGGACTGTTTCTCTTTTGGTATATCCGCTTATGACTTTATACTGTACAATTCATCAGCAAAACATGTTTGATTGGGAAGATATTTTAAGGATATACGCCAAGTTATTGGCTTGGTAGATTGGATCATGGATGATCATGGTATATCATGGTTCTCTGATTGACAAGCCAGGTAAAATCCCATTCCGTTGACCCTTCCGGGGCTGGAGGTATTTGGCGACGGCCAGTGGCGTCATCTTCTTGTTCTGGAAAACCTCCCTGTCCGAGACCCGGCGAGCCGGCCATGCCTTCTCTCAATGGCCATGACGAAAAGGAACCGATTGAGGACGGAGGTACCTACCATATGTAAGGCCTATTTTTCAGGCCTATGTAAGGGGATATACCCCCAAAATATGGCCTTATATGGGAAAATACCTCCAATCAATCGGATCCTGGAGATCTCCCATTGATTCTCTAGACAGACAAATTGTGGTGTTCGTTGGGGTTCCTCAAATTTGTGGAATTCGACCATCCCAACATATCCCAACTATCCAGTGGTTAGGAGTGGTTGGAGTGGTTGGGGTATTCATATTCATCATATTCCCTATGAAATAAGGAGCTACTTAGAGTTTGCCAACCATCTAATAGCCAGTGATTAAGTTTCCAAACTCCCCCATTTTGATTTCAACATCAGGCGCGTCCCGACTGTGGCCGACACCACCGTGGTGGAGTGTGGACCTTTGCAAAGTGACACAGGCGATCCTTTACCTTGCTGTGAACTAACATGGATGTGGAAAATGCCAGCATTTGTAATTAGATCCTTTTCCTAGGAAAACCATAGGTTTTCCACATTATTTTGCATGTTTACCCCACCTTGAAGATGTTTTCTTTGTAGAAAAGAAGAGGGATTCAACTGCGGAACCTTGGATCGGAAATACTAATGCCTTAATATTGTGGAAGTGAAGATACTAACCAGCAAACACAATGCATGGTATCTACTGTTTTTCAAAGCAAACATGGAGATTCAACGTGGAGAAATTGGCGTGGCGATGATTCAACATGGAAATTGCTCCTTTTCACCAGACTCAGTCTCGATTTCGCAAAAAATGCTTGGATGCGCATACCAATTCATAGCATCTTTAACTGGAGATATCCCGTGCATGGAAAAAACTGGGAATTGAGATGCGCATCCAAGTGGTTTCACTGATTTGTTTGAATGGGTTGATACCACCAATTTTTGTTGGAGAAAATGAGGAGTGACTGAAGCAACAAAAATTGGTGAAATGAAATTGCGATTTTATTTGTTACTGTTAGCAAAACAAATCAATGTATATAGTGATTTAGCAAAGTAGAAAAAACAAAAAACAAAATATGGTCGTTTGTCAGCAGCAAGAGTTGGGATTTATCTAAGTGTTTGGGTCTTGGAGCATCCAGTTACCCACTGAGATTGCAGACGCCTAAATTACATGAGGAATGCTGGATTACTGAGGCCCAAATTCTGGTTGTTTTCTTGGTGTGCATTCGGGAAAATCACTTAAGTTTTTTTTTTCAGGTGTCCAATACTACGCATATATAGCCAAACAATTTGGACTTACAGAACCTCCCAAAAATAGAAACATACAATCAAGCACAATCCCACTAGAATTGTGGTCAATTACTTTTATGTCTTCTTGGGTGGCTACTATATAGCATGTCCCATTCTTTCAATTCTTGAACTTCCAAAAACATGTGTGTAGAAACTCGAGTCTTGACTCTGCATGGTGCAGAGTTCATGAGGTGTTTTGTTGAAGCAATGTCCATCAATTTGTCGGTGAAATGATCCTAAATCCACTGCGTTGAAATTTGACAATGTTGCTTTCTTAACCATGTTTCGGGAGACAATGGCTTAGACATCTTAAAAATTTAATGCTCCAATACATGTTGAAACCCCAAAAATGGTCATGTGTGATCCCGCACAGGCACTGTGAATTGCGGTCTTTGCCAACTGGGTCTCTGTTTGGACAACACCTGCATGTAGCGCAGCGGCTCTGTTGCTCTGCGAGGGGCGCTGGAGATTCCCGGGAGACTCTCAAAGTGTCCATAAAAAGATAGAAAGAATTAGAAAGAAACAAACATGGACCTGAACACACACACACACATTTTTATGGATCGAGGGTCAAGGTACTCTTGTTCAACAGCCCTTGGACCATCGCATCAATGACCGCAGATCATACGGCCCTTTCGATGGCCGGGAAACAAATATATGATCATGATCAGCGGATCCTTGCATGGTCAACGGCAGTTTAAGCACAGTTCGCAGTCGCCATCCACGGCACGATCTCAGCTTTGTTGTAATAGTTTCAGAGATTCAGGAAAGGACCAGGATTGCAAGATATGCTCAAAGACGATCAAAGACGAACGAAAGGGTTTTGGGCATCTGTGGATTCGAGACACTAGTCTGAGGGGTGAAAACTGCAAGAATCCAACGTGACTGTTGCGGCATGCGTTGAAACTCAACCATGACCGCCGTGTATCCGTTTCTCCGGCCTGACAAAAGGCTGAAAGAGCACAGCACCATGAACAGATGGGTGGGCGATTACAATGAAACATGACCAACATTCCATAGTAGACTCCCTAGAAAAAAGTCCATGACATCCAATGATTCATTCGTGTCATATTACTGTACTTCAAGGATAAATGGTGGATTCTCAGTAATTACAATGAGAGGTAATTTAAATGTGTTGTTGTTTCCGACATGTTGGGGGGGGTTCGATGTTACAGTATTGAGCTGGCGTCGATGTTGACATTCGGTGCCATAGATGTAGCTGTGCTGCATCTTGCTGACGGCACAATGAGCCTGACAAGATTGGTGTTGGTACTGATATCACTGACAACTCTTTGGATCTTTTTAGTATTTGTTGGTTGTTTCAGGATGTTTCAGGTCCTGAAAATAGCGTTCCATCCATACCTCGGAGAAGCCGAAAAGTGAAACAGTTCATACCACAAGCAGACGCTTTTTTTTCACAGAGCGCCGATCTCAGGTTACACGTCAAGTCGTTACACCGGTTACACGCAAGCAATGCCATGTCTAACGCGGAGCATGCGAGCATGCGGACGCTGGCGGTTTCACTTCATGTTTCAAGCCATCTTTCACCATGGTTAAATATAGTGGTGAATCACCATAGGACCATAGTTAAATAAAGTGGAACATAGTGGAACCATGGAACCATCATTCTTGGTCATGGCTCCATTTTTTTTGTTCCACTATATTAGTCTATTTAAATATATATGATCACCTCAACGGGAGTGTTGAAACCAGCCAGAAATGGAAAGCTGCAATTTTTATATAATCTTGTCTCATCTATATTGATCTTTAATAACTTTAATATGAATCTATCATAAAGAGGAAAACTCTGAGATGTCCAAGTTGAATTTTTTTTCCACAAGGCCCATGTTGAGTTGATAACTGAGTTGATGACTTTGACATTCTTGGGATACCCTGGGATTCCCTGGGCTGGCACCAACCATCACCGGTGCCGCTGGGTTTACCCCAAGCTCGCTGGATGGTTTATTTCATGGAAAATCCATCTGAAAATGGATGATAACTGGGGGTACCACCCATATTCTTTAGGACACCTCCATATGAAATGGAACTTGCTGAGCGGAAGATGTTCCTTTCCACCATAATCTGTATTTTCACATCACTTCTTGACATTGATGCCTTCGGAAATTTTTCACAGTAGACCTATTGGATGAATTCGCGCCTTTGTCCTCGCGCTCGGAGTTCCAAGCACGATGTCTAGCAGCTCCCTGGCGCGTTCTCCGCGATTCCTCCGGCCGCCCCGATCCCAGCGCTGGGCACTTTGAAGTAGCAGATGCGCCAATGTGGTAAGACGAAAAGTTTCAGCTGCAACAGGTGGAGGGCGACATGGTCCATCATGGTCCAAATGAATCCAAATGAATTCAAATGAATCAAAGCTTGATTTTTGTTTCCTTGTCGGTTTTAATGTAGCTGTTGCAAGTCGAAGATTTGAGCTGTGTTTTCTCCCACAAGCTTTCAACAAAGGGTTTGCCTGCAAGGGATCTTGGTCACATGGTCTGAAACACTCCGGACTATCACAAGATTGGATATGGGTTTGCCATGGTTTGCCTAAGAAAAGGGGGATACGAACGAAATGTCCGCTTTAGTGGAAAACATCATCAAAGATGGGATGTTTTTTTTGTACCCTATTTTCCGGACAAACCCACAAAACCGCATAGTGGGGGTCAGGCTTTTCTGGCACGACTACTCTGGAAACCCTCAAAACTCGAAAGTCATTATTGGCAGGGAGGAGTTGGCTCGCTGGAAGATATTCGGAAATAGCGTGCTCAAGATCTAAAGGACCCACTAATTCCAGGACAAATGATCTTCAGCCATTCCAAACTGAGTCGCGCTTCATTTCTAATAATACAATATTATACAATATTAATATTTAATAATATGTCCAATATTTTCCAATACTCCTGCAACCAAATTGCACAATGGGCACTATTTAGTTGAGGGACCACATCGTCTTCCAAGCAGCATACTGGTAGGAGATGCCCCAATCGCCTGGTTTCCTCATTTGGCGGGTCTGTTCAGATTGTTCAGTTTGGGCATGTTCTGTTCTGTGCAGTACCAGTGCGTTTGCCTATTGCCAAGTTTGAAATTGTTGGGTCCGACCATTCATTTCTCGATTGAATAACCAGCTAACAATGCCTTTGCCTTTATTCAATGGTAGTTTTGGCTTGAATTGGGGCATCGATTGGCTGCCAAAGAATGGCCACCGAACCTGTCTGCGAAAGAATGCACCCTCCGATTTTGCGCAGCTGTCCCTATGATGCTCCGCCAGCAGAGTGTCCTTGGCCATGGGGCCCCCAACAGATGCACAAGACGACCCTCAACTCCGCTGGCGGACGTGGGGACGGAGAGTCGCAAGGTTTTCGAAGTGTGTTCGGCGCCAAGAAAAAATGGGAAGGTTCGGCTCAGGACGATGCAGTTCCGCACAATCCGCATGATGGTCTTATTATGTCTTATTTGGGAAATAACTGGCCAACAGTTACACGGAGGGTGCATGATGTGAACTTACTATATCCAGGTTTGCCTCCTCTAGATTTAGGATTGATGTAAGGGTTCATTCGATTGAAACTGCTGGATAATCTTGCCAGAGAGCCTTGAAAAAGAAGCTTTGGTACCAAGATTTCTGGATTTCTATGGCGGATTTCCAATCTTTCTTTGGCATCATATGTTGTGCAAGCATGAGTTCTGCTCAAAGAAACGCTGCCAGCTGTGCGCTGCAGATGGACTCTTGTCAGAAGGTGAGCCTCAGAGGCATATCCCAAGTTCCCCGGCAAAGGTCAGTTCACTCAGTTCACTTCTATGTTTGGGATACAGCACAATATAAAATTATATGTATTATAGATAATTATGTAGATATAATTATATACGCATATATATATACACATGTTGTATGTACATATTTAGATATAGATATAGATAGAATATGGACACAAATAAAATAATCCTCTTAAAAATGAACATATGTTTGAAACACCCATAGTGTATCTACTTCATGATGATGATATGTTACATATGTATGTATATATATATATATGTAATGTAATGTAATGTTATGTTATGTTATGTTATGTTACGTTAATGTAATGTAATGTTAATGTAATGTAATGTAAATGTAAATGTAAATGTAATGTATTGTAAATGTAATGTAAATGTAAATGAAAATGAAAATGTAAATCATTGTAATGTAATGTATGTATGTATATATATATATGCATACATGATATTGTCCCGATAATAACTATCCTGTCATTTCTTGCACCCCGGCCTGCAGGTCATGTTGCTGTGGCTGGCCCTGGTGCCCCTACTGGTGGCAGGAGTGCAATGGGGACAGGTCAAAGTCAATGTATTGGTTAACTGGGAAATCTACAGGAAGCCCCATATTTTTTTGGACAATTCATGGTTTGTGGTAAATTTTCCCGTAAACCAATCTGACAAAGGGGTTTTCATGGGAGAACTAGAGTAACTAGATGAAAAATCAATGAATCTGAGGTACTTATCACAGAAAACGATCCATTTTTCCGGGTAAATATGGGAGGGTTCCTCTATTTTTGTTTTTTCTGTGGAATCCAATTCCTGGAGAATCAAGGACTTGTCAATCCTTTTTTGGGAGTTGTGTTGTTTGTATCTATGGAGTTTGGGTGGCCCTCTGCAAATGACAGGAGACCCAGTGGTAGAGTACCATGCCATTTGTGATGCTGGCAGTACTGGCACGCGGCTCTATGTGTCCCCCGGTGGATTTTTGGTTGTGGGTTGGAGAAAGTAGAAGAACATCAACTGACATAAAACAGATTAAAACAGGTTTCGAATGAATTTTATCACTTAAGTATCTTAAGTATCTTAAGTATACTTAAGTATGTTCTATCCTGAACCCCAATGGACTTTGGGATGGGTTGAAACATTTGCATGTTGCCAAGTATCGACTTGTTAAAAACGTGGTTGAAACCACCCGTGTTTTTATGTTTTCATGTCTAGAATCACATAGAAATTGCGGGGAAGTCTCAGAAGTTGGGTCTTTCATTTGGTTTCCCCGACTTTTTCCATCCCTATTTCATTTGATCCCAAAGATGGGGATATCCATTTGTCATCAAATCTGGCTAGAAATTCCACCATTTCCAGATATGAAAATAGGGGATGTCCCAGCCATGGCCACTGGCTGGCCATGACTGGCCATGATCTTCCACCGGACTCGGTGACTCACAGGTTTGCTCTAGATCTTGCGGCTGGAAAGGCGGGGTACAGCAAGGGCCCTCGCATTTATAAGTTGGGTATTTTATATCAGTTCTAAACCCATCTAAGTCTGGATACATCCACACGTTTTAAAAACATAATATAAAACATATACTTGATATTAGTTATCATAGTTTGTAAACCAACTGACCTATCGTTCGGTGGGCCCTTCCTGAATGATCTGTTGCAGTCGTTGCTGCGAGGTTCTCGAACAAATGTTGGGCAGAAACTTGGGGTAGGTTGAGATTTTACCCGAGGTCCATAAAATACCCTGGTTGATTGGTTTTTATATGGGATTGGGATTGATATGAATGAACCATCCAAAAAATAGACTTTTACAGGTTTCAAACATTGGGATATAATTGATGAATGATGCTTGATTGGTATTGGTTGTTATAGGGAGTTCTATTAGCTGGGTTATTGGGGATTATGAACTAACCAACCCATAGTAGGGAAAGGATGGGGAAGGTATGAACCAACTAGTTTAATGGCTCAAAGAGAGAGAAAAGTGACGATGCAACATTTCTTTCTTACCCGATTCAGTCTGAAGGAAGCATCCGTGCAGAATCACTGGTTTAGTTTGGATGTGTTTCGTTTGGGGTCCAACAGCAAAAGACCTGTGTTAGGGTTGCAAAATTATGAGCTTCCTGTAAAGTTCCCATGCAAAGACAAACCTTGCTTGTAGCTTCTAGACCAACTTAAGAGAAGTTTCAGGGTAGTGACTTAGTTATACCACTGCATATTTCCATACGTATAGCAATAGTAAAGTTAAAGCAATAGTAAACCATCCCCAAGATATCCCAAAAGAAAATAAATGCGCTGTATGAACCATCAAAATATTTGTGTGGTTCACTATTGCTTTACTAACATTACAGCGTTTGAAACGTTGTCCTGGCCGCCGCGGCCGCTTTTAAATCTATTCTGGGAGCATCAACAGACACAGCTCCAAACATCTGTGGGAGGCCGAGTCAGTCTTTGTCAAGAAGACAAAGCCTGGGCTCTCGTCCTATGTCGATGATCCCAAGAAAGCAGTGACTTGTTCACTTCGTTCCAGAGCGGCTGCTGCTTTATGTGGCGAAGTGGGGCCACGATTCAGGGCCCATAATGGCCATAGGCCATGACCTTCTACACCATTTGTTTAACTGTTTACATGGAAGCGAAAAATATAGCCGAAAAAATAAACTGATAGAGCACAAAGATAACATATCTATAATAGATACATATATATACATACATGCATATATTATATTGATGAATGACTGTTCTATGCTTTTCTATCTTCTGGGGGTTTACTATAAGATATGTTCACAGCATCTTCACCCAGTCAGGGGTTCACCCAGTCGTAGCTTTCAGGTAGCCCCGTTGCTGCAACTCCTCATAGAAGGCAGGTTTTGGACGGGATTTACCCAAGCAAAATGGGGATTTCACCATCAGGAAAGGGAAAATCCAGAATTCCAAAGAGCAGCAAGAAGCACAACTAGTTGGGGGTTCAACTCTTCTGGTTGGTGGTTTGGAACATGGCTTTGATTTTTCCATTCAGTTGGGAATTTCATCATCCCAACGGACGAACTCCATCATTTTTCAGAGGGGTGGCTCAACCACCAACCAGTATTTATTGTTCGTTTCAACTTTCAACCATACTTGGGATGGGTTGAGATGATGCGCATCTTGGGATGGGTGGCTCAACATGTTTAAACCACCGGACCAAGATGACCGTGATATCCGTGGTTTGCCTTTGATCCATCAAGTGACTAGCATGACTAGCATGTATCTTCTGTCTCTATGCTTCAACCATTAAATCATTAGCCACTACAACCATTATGAACTAACTATTAAGATTATTAGGCGCTATTAAGATTATTAGGCGCTATTAAGATTATTAGGCGAAATATGGCGAAATTAATAATCAACCATTATTTTTAACTATTAAGATTATTAGGCGCTATTAACCACCATCTAGTGACCCAGATATGGAATGCTTTGTTCGATACAAAGGACTATAGTGGAACCAAGTTGGAGCCCCATTTCAGAAGCTTCTAAGTGCTCAGTGTGGCGAAGTGAGCCCTTTTTTATTGGGAGCACCTATGTTGATTGATAACTCGGGGTTGGCATAGCAGGTTCAATAATTTAAATCCGAGATTAGCAAACAATAGTAAACCCCTAGGCTATTAAATTGAGATTTACCCATTAACGAGTTTGTTGGTTGCATGTGTTTTTCCCATTGTTCTTCAAAAGTATAATAATTCTATATATGGCTTCGTTCCTTATTGCGGACAACCAGAAAATCCGTACAATCAGGTCAATCCTACCGTTTCCACGACATCTTATATATTATATATACTGTATATAGTATATATATACATGTACATGCAATACTATGGTTACACAATATTCCCCGTTAACAATATAGCACCATTGAAATTCCCATCAATATTCCCATTAGTACAGTAATATATCGCTGTTCTAATGAATGTTCCCATTATGGTTGATAGTTATATGGGTTTGTCTGAACATAGTGTGTCCCCAAAAACGCCAGTGGTGAATCATCATTATCCCTATTAAATAACCCTAGTTGGAGCTCCACCCCCATTTTCACACACATCCATATTATTTCCCATTGATATTCCCACTAAATATTCGCACATAATCATCAATATTCCCATGAATAATATATGGCTATTCTCATCCATATATACCCATTGATCTTCTCACCAAATATTCCCATACATACTATTAATATGTCCATCAATATTCCCATATATTATATATATTCCCTTCATGGTTGATAAGTAATTATATGGCTATGAGTCAAAACCCTGGCACTCTAGGTAACCGTAGGCCCTAGGTACCCTAAAATAGCTGGTTAATGGATGGTGATTCCCTCAGTCATATTGGTAATTTCATCGGTTTTGATCCATACCCATTCCCATCAATATTCCCATCAACAATATTCCCATCAATATTCCCATGCATTCCTTTTATCCTTGATAAGTATATGTATATGTATATATGTTGTATACATATACATATATACATATATATATATATACATGTATATATATATATATATATTTATATATACATATATGTATACATATGTATATATATGTATACATATATGTATATATATGTATACATATATATGTCTATGTGTATTCATCAAGCCAGGTGTGTCACCACTGCTCTCCAGGATCTGAGAAGGTGCCCCTGGATCAGCGCAGCAAGGTTCCGTTGCTGATCTTCGGCACGGCGGGAATGAGGTGCTCGGGGCAGCCGGAAATCCATGGAAATCCTGAAATGGGGAGATTTGACCTTTGAAAGTAGTGGATTGTGCTCAAATTTCCGGCATCAAATTGGAATGTCACCAGAAAATACTTTCTGGGTACATGCACTGCTTTGTCCAAATGTCAAAGTAGCTAAGCAGCCAACTGATGTTGTATGTTCTCAGTATGCAGATTTCACGTGCAGGATGCTACCGAAGAAGAAGCAGGCACTTTCAGGGCTCTGAGATGGTTTGTTGGCGACAGAATCTTCTTTATTGCAATCCACTTCCACCTTTCCCATCCTTTCCAAGTTCATTCATGTAGGTCTGACCAGCAAAATTTGGGCCTTTGGCGGTTTTGTTTTGGTCAGTGGACTACAAGGATCTACATTTGGTGTAGAAGTTCTTTCTTTGGAAGAATCATCCCAGCGACTCAAGGGACCCTGACTCCGCTGCGGGTTTCGCAGGACTCGATTTGGGCCTCCCTGATCCACGTCTACGAGGACAAGAGCTATCCTTTCGACCGTGCCCATGTCATTGCGCGGACGGTGAGTGGCAGCTGGGCATCCATAAGTGGTTGCCACGGGGAGTGGTGAGTAATGGCGGCCACTACCACTGGTTGATACATGTTATCACATGGCCACTCTTCAAATGGCCAATGCATGGTAAGACGGTAAATATACCTCTTTTTATGATGATCATGTGATGATAATCGCTTCGGATTTGGGGGCATACTCGGTATCCGTGATTGGGATCATTGGGATGATATAATTTGATGCCTCGAAAGCTATGTTGGACCAACCGGCGCATCATACGATTCTGCCCTAGTGTTGTGCATTCCAAAGAAATTGGCTCCACCTTTCTTCACCCAGTCCAATCCCAATAACCCCCAATAACCATAAATGATACCTGGTCGACCAAGTTTTACCATTTGGGAGGTATTCACAATCAGACCCCCAGAAGGGGATTTGTCAATTATAGGGCTTGGCCCATATTATTAATTCCAATACGTTGTTGATTAAATCCCCATAGTATCGTGGCATAGATTATGTTTGTTTAGTCCCTAGAATACCATTTGCTTGCGCTTCATGCCCCAGGTTTTGTTGATTAAATCCAAGATGGTGCCCCATAGTTTGGTAAGTTGGTTAGTTCACTAGTATATCTAGGGTTTATGGTACATATATATATATATCACTCGTGCATGGGCTTTATCAACCCAGAAACTTTTTCCTGGGGGCTACCTCCTTGTAACAATTCGCCATTTGACTGGTGGTTTCACTGGAAAATCCTCGTCAAGTTTGGTTTAGCCACATCTTAAAATCATGCAACAAACCAATTTGACTAAGATTACCACATGTGAAAAAAACACACACCTATGATTGGTTAAATCATTGTCAATTGTGGTTAGTCATGTTAAATCCCGATGATTCTTGCCACAATCAATGTACATCTTCGACCGACACGTCGAGCCAACGTCCGCGCCAAAGGTGATGAGGAGGGCTTGTGGGCTGCAGCTTGGCCATGGCATCAAGATAGGGACGTTTCCTACAATGGGGCTAACCCCCAAAATCATGGTTTGTACTGGAAAATTCCTCGAAAATAAATGACTTAGGGGCACCCCCCATTTTAGGAAACCTCCATATAATTATGGGTGGTCCAAAACTAGGATACCCTGATTTGTCCTAGAATGAAGAGGGAAAAAGACTCTTGACCAGTGGACTTTAGGGGTCATTGTCCTATTTTACATATACAATTTGCATGCCACAATAGTGGCTTCACCCTTGAAACGTGGGATAGGGGCTGGGGTACAACAACCCAAAATGTGGGGATGATTTGGAGAGCACGATGCGGTGGACAGTCAACCACCGTTTCATGGTCCAGTATTGTGACATGTTGTTTCATGTTTTTTGAAGACGTTAAACTCAGTTTATGTGGCGGCATATATGGCCCAATATGGCTCCTGGAAAAGCTGATACTGTAACTATGAGTTTCTACTAACTGATGGTCGATGATGGTAGATGAAAAGTACGCTGGTTTGTAAGTTTGAGAATGGCTATGTTGAACAAAGGAAAGATGAAAATCCCTGACTTTGGGCGAACCCATCAGAATCCATCAGTCGAACCCATCAGAATCCAAGCCGGCAATTCTTTCAAGGTACTCACAACAAACTTTTTGACAGGTAGGCATCTCGACTGCAAGCATGTTCTGTGTTCAAGTGCGCAGAGTGCGTGGAGATGGCGGTGAAGATTGGACATTCTCGAAGGATCAAGTGCCTGAAGCACATCGTTCCCTCACATCTGCAAGAATTATGGACTGTGACACGCATAGATTTCGTAGATGTCCTTGTTTCGACTACTCTTTGGTAATTTAACATATCTATCAAACATGGCTCATTATAAATGAATCAATTTACCACTTGAAATGGTGATGTTCCAGTTCGCTATGTTAGATTATCAGAGGATACCAGAGGGTAGTTGGTCAATGAATGGAGGGGGTAGGCAACTGATGGCCGTTGGTGACTTGCTTCGAGGATGGGCCATGATTTGCTCTCGCACGGCAGCTCTGCACCCTTGGGGCTTTTGGATTTAGGCCAGGGTTCAACCAGCAGAGTTATGGGATTTGTGGGGGTATCAAGGGCAGCTAAAGCAACCATTTGTATATTAGTATAATGCGATATAATTCTTACCAACCACAATGAGGAGATAGATTGATATCGATGGTTTGCAATTAGAGTGAACAATTTGCGATTTGTGCTGGTACCTTTTTTCGACATGCCGATGTTCTCAAGCCAAACCATCCTGTTCAATGAAAAACCAAAGCACGGTTTGCAGATGTTGCAGATATGGATTTATGGCCGCACACTATATATACACTATATACAGTAGTGTATATATATGTATATACACACTATATATAACACTATATATACACTATATATACACTATAATGGTCGTTTGCAATACGAGATTTGCGATCTATGCTTTGCCAAAACAGCAAACGAAATCCCAGGCGGATCGAGTACGCAGATCCTTGGCTGCACAGATGCCAACAGAGAAACAGCATCTGTTGAGTTGGTCATGTTTTGCGAAATTCATTGTTTTCTTCACTTTCACGGGGAAAAACAATATAAAACAATCACGTCCAAAAATGACACTTCTTCAATTCTTCAGCCTCGCATTTGTTGATTACCCTCTGGTTATGTCAAAATAGCTATTGAAAATGGCCATAGAAATAGTGGATTTTCCCATTAAAAATGGTGATTTTCCATAGCAAACTGTTAAATTACCAGAGGGTATTTTCCGCAGGAAGAACAAGACATGCCGGAGCAGTCAGGATCGGCATTCCTTCAGCCGCAGCTGCAGCCAAAGGCACGCCACATCACCGGCAATGGTTTTGATTCAACTTTCTTTCATGGAGTGATTGTACTCTACTAATCTCTACTAAGTTGAAGCAAGCACAGAAGTAGAACTCCATTTCTACGTCTCCCACCGTGGTTGTTTCTTCCAGAAGGATCTGATGAGATTAGCACGAAGAGGAAGCGACTTCAAGACATTAAAGTCCTGATATGACTTGATATGGTTCAGATCTGATGAACTTTGTGTTTCTTTGCCATCACCAGTTGCCTGTTTGCATACCTAACCCCTCTGCCATTTTGCCTTCGCTCACTACCTCTACGGCAGTTTCAACTTCAGACTAGGAGCAGAAGATTGAATGAGGCTCGCATACGCGGATTGATTAAGACCATCATGTGGCCACAAACTTCATGATTCCAATTTCTCTTGAGATGCCAGGACGTCTACTTGAGGGTGCATTTCCATACTAATAAGTGGATTATAATTATATAATATTATATATATAATGATTTATATAACTATATAGCTTTAGTTGTAGGGACATGTAGGGGTTATATCCCAGCTTGTGGAGGTTACAATTAGAATTTTATAGTTATACCCAGAAAAGTCGGCACAGTCCTGCAGCCCATATCATGACATGGTGTTGGCAGGCATCAATTTCAGCGACGGTGTCATGGTCAAGAGCTACTTGGGCTTCGGCATGACGCACATTCGGGAAGAGGTCAGCAATGGTCAGCAGTCAGGCGGTCCTATACATATATATATATATAATTATATATATATATATTACTATGTAATACGTTACGCGGAGAGTTACTTAGTTTGATATCATGGTATCTTACTATCAAGTATCCTATCATATATTACCATCATATATTATACTATCATATATTACGTGCCACATATCAGGCATACCTCAGATTAGTTGGCTGATCAGATCACTCCAGACATGGATGATATCTGACTCATGGGAGGTCCGCAAGGAGTCCTCCGATGGTACAGATTCCAGTTGCTACATGAAAGGCCGGGTGGACAGCTGGACACAGCTGGACACAGACCCGAAAAAAATATGTAATGTGGGTATAACAATGTCATAAACCATCCCCCAAATCACCATTTTTAAAGGTGGTTTGGTTACCATTCCCAAATGGGTGGTTTATGACATTGGTGTACCCACATTTTATAAAAAGTGATGTTGCATCAGCCTGGGTCAAGATAAGATTTGATGACTAAGTAACTAAGTGTGATGACTCTGTAGGTTTGCCGGGTCAAAATGTGCAGCAAATGTTTACAAAGAGCCTAGTTACCGATTCTGCGATTAGCCGGAGGCTCTGGAGGCTGTACACTTCGATATACCATTCGTTTGTTGAAGGAAAGAGAGCTGAGCGATGACATGGGGAAGATGAAATACCCTCTGGTAAACTAACATAGCTATGGAAAATAGCCATATTTATAGTTGATTTACCCATTAATAGATTAAAAATGGTGATTTTCCATCGTTTTTTGAAAACGTTTACCAGGCCGGGTGCCAAAAACTCAGCATCTCCAGCGATTTTCTCCTGCGAGTTTCCACGGGTGCGAGCTGCCAGGGACTCCGGTGGATGGCCGCAGTGGTACCGGCGATGGGTCCCTGTGTCGTCGGCTGATCAATCGCTTGCTGCAGCAGAAGTCTCCTGGCAGTCCTGGCAATCAAAGGGCAAGGACCAGGTCTAAAAAGCCGGGGATTTAAGAGTCAAACATGGAACATGGGGGATAGCAAGGTAGTGTGATAATATAATATTCTGGGATAATAGGGGATAGTGTATAGGGGTATAGATAGATAGATAGATAGATAGATAGATATTATAGATACATTTGGATTTAATAGGGTATCTAGCCACCAATAATATGATGGCAGGGCTGGGTGTGTCCCAAAATCAGGACATTGAGTACCAATATGTGGTCATTTTAACAGGGAAAATGATGATTAACCAGCGGATGGAATTGTTTTTCATGTTTTTTTCTCAAAATTTTCAGACAAACCCACCTCCTATTGGCATATCATGGGATACATACCATAGAAACCATAGAAACTGGTTATGAACTATCTAACTTCCAGCATCATCCAAGTGGTCAATTCAAGTTGCAGGTCAAATTGGGTCAAGCCCTTGGGTGCGTCACCGGTTGAGGAAACGGGGGATTTCCCCGACTGGAAAGCCTGTTTTTCTGGGCGTCCACCGCGTCTTTTGAAACGTGTTTGACGGTTGTCGCCATTCGTCGGGCAGATGATGGTGAATATTGAGACTCTCAAGCCAAACCAAGCATGATTGGCAATGATTTGATCTTTGTGTGTTAATCTGCATCGAGGTAATCATACGAACATAGTATTCCAATATAATAGATGTATCAATAGTATATGATAGCGCCAAAACCCATGGTATTGTGATGTATTATGTTTAGGAATAGTGGCTATTGCACATACGTTGCAACTATATACAATATATATATATATATACATGTGCATGTCGATTGTTTAAGGCCTTTAAGATCAGTCCAGTTTCTGCATCACCCCGGCATCCTGATTTTTCGGTGAATTTTCGCAGTCAGGTCCCAGACTTGCAGACTGGAATCCGCCCACTCGTGGCTTGGGCTGGACTGGGGCTCCAGTGCTGCAGATTGTTGACCTATGTGTTTTTTGTGTGAGTTTTACCACACCAATAGTATTCAAATGCGGTGCCACCAGGTTTCTTTAAGTTTTTCTTTTGTGTCAGTGGTAGTTGGACTTTGGGAACAGAATTTCTTCTGGATTGTATGTCAAGCTGAGTCAAGCTGCTATTTTCGCTTGTTCACTTTCTATTGTGCGGACGTCTCTTGCTAACTCATAATCTACATGTTGGGATCCAGACAAAAAACCTGCTCTGAAAACCATGGCCTAGGGAGCCCTGCTTGGGTGACTTGAGTAGTTCAGCCTTGGAAGCAGTTCAGGCAGGGTGCTGGCCTTGACACAGCGGACACAGCGGTCCGCTGGGCCCAAGAAACGGGCAAAACCCCAGCTATGGCCATTGACATGTGGGAAGCATGATTTTCTCAAGCACTTGGATGGAAATGAATGGAAATGAGGTATTCATAGGTATTCATAGGTATTCTATGTTCAAGATTGTTCAAGACAAACCACTGTGGATCAAGTTTCTTCGGCTCGGGCCTTAAAATTTGACCCATGAATGTTTACTTTTCGATATGTTCTTGTTTCAAACCATATTGTTGTTGTCCCATTGGCCGGAGGAAGCATTTACAGGAATGCTTAACATTTCAGGGTAAAATCAATGTTTTCCTGTAGATGTTGCACAAACTTGCCATCTTGCCCATCTTGCCATAAATAAATGCATTGATGTTACTTAAACTGACATATATTGCCATAAATTGCCAATTTTGTTGGTCCTTTCTCCCATCTTCAGTCTTTGGTCAAGGGCTCTGTGGACTTCTTCGGTGTTAGCGGCCTGACTTATGTAGCAGACTTTGCCCGCTGGTGGGCCTCGCAGCAAGCGCCCAACCATCCAGCGACCAAAGCATTTCTTGAGGCACGCAGCTGTAGAATTGGGTCGGGGATGCCGCACCTGTTGGACAATTCGATCAAGCAATGAATTGGATGATAACTTCACATCAATCACATTAATCACTAGTGACGTTTTTTGATTCACGAGTACTGTATTAGCCATTCTTAGCCGCTTTTTTTTACCGTCGTTAACCATGGTATTTTAATATGTTTTACCATCCGGTCATCAAAGCCATCGCTGGTTGATTTGTGACCCAGGCCTATCCTCGACCCACCCTGGCGGAGCTTGAGGCGGTCATCGACCTCATGTGTGCAGGCGCAGCTAAGAAACCATGGTTACCCTTTGGTAAAGAAACATCATCTAAGCATCATTGATTTGGGTGTTATGAAAATGGGGGCATTATCATGTTCTTAACCACTGGTAAATTAACATAGCGAACTGGAAAATCACCACTGTTCACAGGTAAATCAACTATTTCTATGGGCCATGTTCAATAGCTATGTCTATGTTAGATTACCGGAGGGTAAGAAATGCGAAGAATGGCCAGTGATGGTTAGGTGGTTCGAAATACTTAGAAATGGCATGAAATGGCCAAGAGTGTTTAGGACTGGTCAAGAATGGTCGTGGTATATGGTGAAGAATTGTCAGTCATGATGTACACATGGGAATATGGGGAATTATTGGGATATATCTAATGGAAACCCTTACTGTAATGGGGATAGGTATGGGGTAGAAGATATTGTTGGGTCTGTCTGAAAATGGACAATGGGTTCCCCAAATGAACATGTAAATAAGGACAATTATGATAAATCACCAATGTTGAGTGATACTGTACCCTATTTTCAGACAAAGCCATGTACAAAATGTAGGGTAATCTGGAACTGGGATGATCCATACCGTGAAGAGCCTTGTAATAAAAAACGTGTGTTGGTTGCTCAAGACTATATACACACTTTGGCACGGAGTCATGCTTGTCGTATCCGAGGGACCCCAGGAAAATCCAGTGATATGTTCGTTCATCAATTTATCTTCATGTATTGATTATTTAGATGTATTATTTAGATATATATTTGATCTTGATGTATTGATTATGACCACATGGTTTTTCACTAGATTCTGTGGATAGACCCATGATGCCGTGGGCCCAGCAGAACCCCGGCAACTGATTCACAGCCGCTCGGGGGAAGGCGATTATTCGTGGGTGGACAAACAGACCCAGCAGAAGTCCACCGCGCATCAGCCCCGCGGCATCGAAGGCATCGAAGTTCTCGGTCTATGGAAAATCACCTGGGTTACTCTCTGGTAATTTAACATAGCTATTGAACATGGCTATTTATAGTGGATTTACCCATTAATAGCATGGTGATTTTCCATAGTGATGTAAACGTTTACCAGAGGGTATCCTTTGATAATTTAACATAGCTATGGAAATCATTTTAACAGGTCAATCATCTATTTCTATGGTCCATTTTCCAGTTCGCAGTGGTGAGTTTACTGGAGGGTAGCTGGTATGGCTGGATGTAAACCTCACCATGGGAAGAGTTGCAGGGAGGGGTGTCATGTCGGCCATTCTTCCATCACAGCCATAGGAGCACTACTTGGCATTACATTACACGATTTGAACGTGGCTGTGGTCAATAGATCTCAATAGTTAATGCTTACTTATATGATCATATGGGGGTTTCCGTAAATGGGAGTACATCACAACGGCTGGTTTATAGTACAAAATCCATCAAACAATGGATGATGACTGGGGTAGCCCCAGGGAAGCCTCACATGCTCAGGTTCACAGCTGAAGATAATGCACCGTACAGATGCTTTCAAGCCAACTACATGCTGATTCTGCTGCGGGAAGCTGGGTTTTTCACAGGGGGGTTGTACCTACTGACATGAGTGTTGCTATTTGCTAATTCGATGTTTATTTCGTTGATTTTTGCTGTTTTGAGAATTCCTTTTTTGTTTCCGGATGTTGGTTGATGTTAGTTGATTCATGTCGCTGTATCCTATCGTTCATCGCCATTGGTTTCACACGTACTGTACTCATATCGATTGCGATGATCATCCACTTTGTTGTTTGTACACATGGCAAACGTTTAGTAATTATTATGTATATTATATCATCACATATAATCACAATTATGTATGCATATGTGGCACCATATTATATATAATTATGTATACATCATACCTCGATGGGCGGTGGTTACCGTCACTTTGCGGAAAACCAGTGGCCAGCAATGAAGTAAAGCAAAAAAAAGCATAAGTGCGTTCTACAAACCATCCCCAAATGGTAGGTTTATCATTGGGTTGCCCACATTATTGGTATACCATGGCATACCCTTATATTTGGGATGAATCGAAAAGACCTTTCAAATTTTGAAAACTTATGTTTCATCGGCTTCTCTGAAAAAAAAACGCCGCAGTTTTGGAATTGAAAGAACTTCGGAATCTTACTGGCTGACCTCACGGTAAACAGCAGTGAGGGAACCCACCAAAAAAGGATGGCTTAGTGAAGCATGATGCCTTGTACCTTTTGAGTCTTGTTGATCTTGGCCAATGATGGCTAGGACTAGGATCATCATGGCTACTTATATGATCTTATATGAACTTATATGATCTTATGTTGTTTCAGGCCAATGATGCCTAAGCATAGGATGTTTGTCGAAGGAAGTTTAGAAGTCAAACTTCCGACAATATGGACAGATGAAAAGCAGAGTAGGGGAGAGGCAGAGAGAAGAGGAAGATTAGAAGAGAGAAGATGAGAAGAGAAAGAGTCAGAAGAAAGAAGATACAGATGCGCGAAAAGGTAGGAAAGTCGCGAAACACTGTGTTTTTCCAATGATTTGTGGCTCAGGAGGGTCGAAACGTAGGCTCGCTAAAGCGGCGGGTGCGGAGCCAGCTGGTCACAGGAGCGATGAAAAATTGCACGCCGTTGTGGCGCGAAGCACATTTCCAAGTCAAAAGGTACAAAACACCTCAGCGTCGGACGACTTTTGGAAGTTGCGATGTCGAAAAAGTGCACGCCGTTGTGGCGCGAAGCACATTTCCAAGTCAAAATGTACAAAACACCTCAGCTTCGGACCACTTTTGGAAGTTGAGATGTCGAAAAAAGCGCGCGCCGTTGTGGCGCGAAGCACATTTCCAAGTCAAAATGTACAAAACACCTCAGCGTCGGACGACTTTTGGAAGTTGCGATGTCGAAAAAGTGCACGCCGTTGTGGCGCGAAGCACATTTCCAAGTCAAAATGTACAAAACACTCAGCGTCGGACCACTTTTGGAAGTTGAGATGTCGAAAAAGTGCGACACGCCGTTGTGGCGCGAAGCACATTTCGAAGTCAAAAGTGTAAAAAAAACTGAGGGTTTTGAGCCTTTTTTGACGTGAAGATGTCGAAAAAGTAGACACTGATTAACTTAACTAACTTGACTAACTTAACTAACTTCACTAACTTAACTACCCTAACTTCGACGACAACAGCAACAGCAACAGCAACAGCAACAGCACAACAACAACAACCAACAACAACACCAACCACAACAAACAACAACTACAACTACAACAACTACTACAACAACACAGCAACCAACAACAAACAGCCAAACAACAACAACAACTACTACTACTACAACTACAACTACAACAACAACAACTACTACTACTACTACTACAACTACAACTACAACTACAACTACAACTACACAACAACTACAACTAGAACTAGAACTACAACTACAACAACTACAGCTACAGCTACAACTACGACAACAACAACAACTACTACTACTACTACAACAACAGCAACAACAACTACAACTACAACAACTACAACAACAACAACTACTACTACTACTACTACTACTACTACAACCACACAACAACTACAGCTACAACTACAACAACAACTACAACTACAACAACTACAACTACAACTACAAAACAACTACATCTACAACTATATGGCTGCAACTACACTACACTAATTACATTACACCACAACTACAACTCCACTACGCTACAACTACAACTACAGTTGCAGTACATCACACTACATCCAGCAGTTGTGGGTGAGGTGACCACTGCAACCATTGCAACCATTCCATTAAACACAACTCCAACCACCTTTCGGTCAATCAGTGGATTCGCTCTGCCATCCGTGATTCACAACAACCAACGTCTCCTATAGGCTTCCTATTCTGAAACTTCCGCCACCGCCTTGTGCGGTACTACTGGTATAGGTTATGTCCCATGATTGGGGAATACTCAGAGCAAGTAGCACCATCTTCCAGTTTCCAAGGCTTTCAACTGGTCCACTGTTGCTTCAGATAGTCACACATGTTTGTTTTTCAGGTTTCTATCAATACAAAATCGATCGGGTTGGTGGTTTCAAATAGATTTCAACTAGTGCGTTTCTTCTATGCCCTTCCCCGGAAAAAAAAACAACTATTTTCCACTTCCACCAAATTTCTGGGATGCTCCACCACATTTTTTCCACCAGAAACATGTGATTTCTGGGCTGCTCGCCACATCCACAACGACGGAGCCTGCTCGCACATTACCAAGGAGATCTATGGCTTCCCCAAGGACGCGCGCAAGGTGACCTTTGCCCTGGAGGTCAGCGTTGAATCATCGGTGACTCATGGAGAATAGTCTTGGTTAATAATGGTTATAGATGGACTCTACTCCACAAACATCTCCATATAAAATTCTACTTTTCTTCAATAATTCTTAGCGCTTGAAAATGGTATTATTATAATATCATATAATTTCCATATATCTCTATATAATCATATTATATCTCCATTGTCACAACATTGTCAGGCGTCGGGCGAAGACCTGGAATGGCCCTTGGGGGCGTTGCTGCATCGCCGCGCGACGTTCCCTGCGTTCCCTGCTCCGCCGTTGCTTGGATCGCAGCAAAACGTGGTGCCGGGGGTTACTGGATGCAATTTATGGTGTTTGAAAATGGTTGAAACTGATGGTTGAGTGAAAGGCCTGAGTTTTTCAATTTTTACTGAACCATTTCAAACCAAGCCATTGATAAATACAACAAATTAACACAAATTAACGGTATTTGAGCTTGAAACAACTGTGATTTCGCCGACAAAAATCGCAGCAAATGGTGGTTTTTGGCAGCACTTAAGGTTTTTTTTTCCAACCGAAGACTTGATTCCATCAGAAAATGGAGATGTGTCAAAACCAACGATTTATCTCAACGGGTCCCTCTAAGAGGCTATGGCTACAGTACGCTGGTAGTTTTTTTTAACATCAAGGAGGTGTGGTGGCTTCATCAGCGGCACTTTTTTGAACCATACCCATCATTGCGACGGAGCCAATCCAAGAATTGGTTGAAACGAAACTTGAAAGAAATGCAGTTGATGATCATGCAATTGGTGGTAAGAAATGTAGTTGATGGTCAAAACCAGGGTTCCTGCACATGTTCCCCCGAATCTATCTATTGAGTCCAAAGTTAATTAATGGTGAGTCCACAAATAGGCAATGTTTATATGAGAATGCAAGGAAACCGGTGGTAACCCGCAAAAATCTGTTGTGCATGCCGCTTGCCTTGTTCATGTGGTATTTCAAAACCATCAAACGCAACTAAATGGTGGATTTTCCAGCTATAGCAATGTTTACGGCAATACCTCTTGTTCACATCAGATGGTTTTCCTCGTGCTTCCCTGCATGTCCCATAGGCCGATGAACCCTGCATATGGAGAACTATGAGGCTCAAAAGTCAGCTTCTCACTGCACCAGCAGGGAACGACACGCAGAGCTGTAGGGTTTCATGCGACTTGCAGAGGTACAGACTGTACAGGCAAGTTCGCTCCGCACAAAGCCCATCTACAGATATTGCGTGCAATCAGTGATGAGTTTTGAGGAAAATAGCTAGGTGGGCCTGGCGGACATTTCCAGGTCATGGTGGTCACAGCAAGTCCAATATATTAAAATGATATAATTATGTTATTATTATATATGTATGTATGTATGTATGTATGTATGAATGTATGTAATGTATGTAATGTATGTAATGTATGTAATGTATGTAATGTATGTAATGTATGTAATGTATGTAATGTATGTAATGTATGTAATGTATGTAATGTATGGAATGTAGTAATGTATGTTACATGTATGATGTATGTATGATGTATGTATGTAGGTATGTATGTCTGTATGTATGTATGTTGTATGTAGTATGTATGTATGTATGTATGTATGTGTATGTATGTATGTATGTAGAGTATGTCTGTAGGTATGTATGTATGTATGATGTATGTAGGTATGTATGTAGGTATGTATGTATGTATGTATGTATGTAATGTTGTAGTATGTATGTATGTATGTATGTATGTATGTATGTATGTATGTATGTATGTATGTAATTTAAGTATGTATGTATGTATGTATGTATGTATGATGTATGTAGGTATGTGTATGTATGTATGTATGTTATGGATGTATGTCTGTATGTATGTATGTATGTATGTATGTATGTATGGTATGTATGTATGTATGTAGGGATGTATGTATGTATGTATGTATTGTATGTATGTATGTATGTATGTATGTATGTATGTATGTATGTATGTATGTATGTATGTATGTATGTATGTATGTATGTATGTATGTATGTATGTATGTATTATATGTATGTATTATATGTATGTATGTTAGTAGGTATTAATGTAAGTAATGTAATGGAATGTAATGTAACGTCACGTAATGTAATGGAATGTAGGTTATGTAATGTATGTATGTATGTAATGTAATGTAATGTAATGTAATGTAATGTAATGTAATGTAATGTAATGTATGTATGTAATGAATGAATGAATGAATGAATGAATGAATGAATGAATGAATGGATGAATGGATGAATGAATGAATGAATGAATGAATGTATGTATGTATGTATGTATGTATATACTATATGTATTTGATATATGTATATAATTATATATCTATTGCGATTTTGAGAAGAGAGGCAAGGGGTCATCATTAGCAACATTTTTCCAAGTCCCAATGATTTCGTTTTGGGCGATGCTTGAAATTCCCTGTCACATGTGACATTTACCAAGCCCTGTATGTTACCATCTGGTTATGACTAACATAGCCATGGAAAATCACCATTTTTAATAGGTAAACCATCTATAAATAGGCTATTTTCCATGGCAAACTGTTAAATAACCAGAGGGTATGTCAACCAACACTTGGACAAGGACATAGATTTGTCTTCACATCTTAACAGTTTTTTTCAGCCTCAAGTGACTCAAGTGATTGGAATTGCTAAAAATCTCCACAGTGGAATTGGCCATTTCTCCGCAGCTTCCGGCGCAGCTGAACGGTGCTGCTGACCATGGACATAAGTGACATCATTCAGAAATCATGAGGGGCCTATAAAACAAATGGATGCCTTACAAATAGTTCCAAAAGCTTGGGACCCCACCAGGCCTTTACCTGAGACGCACAGTACTCGCAATGCTACCAATGCTACTGAATCATTCATTCTCTCTGCAAGAACGACCACCCTCACATCATTTCACACATAAATCCCAAACTCTCACCCAAACCAAATCATGTCGTCCAAGACTGACATGTTCTCAGCCACATCAACTCAGTGATTGCTAAGTCAACTCAGCCAAATGGGTTTCTCTGAAAATTCAATGCGTTCCCAGAATGTTCACCATTAAAAAAAACATTTTTTTGATGTATGCCCCATTTCCAGACACAGCAAAACATCCATTTCTCGCAGCTCAACTTGCGCCATGCCCTCTGAAGAGGCTCTCTGGCAGATGGAACTGGCCACGCTTTCCTAAGATTTCACGACCATGTGGCTGTGGATCAATACCAATAAGTACCATTCTTAGATTCGTGGTATACATTATTACCCTCTGGTAATTTAACATAGCTATAGAAAATCACCATTTTTAATAGGTAAATCATCTATTTCTATGGGCCATTTTCCATAGCTTTTTGTATGTTTACCAGAGGGTATTTCTACAAATGGCATATTGTATTGAATGAGGTAGCTTTTCCAAAAAACTAGCCATAAGTGGCAAGAAGTACCATTTTTGTGGGGATGAAGATCAATGCACGAGCTATTTCGATGTCAGGGGCAGTTAGAGGGTTTGACATGTTTGATCCATCCCCAATGTGGTTTGGCAAATGGTGAAATCCCATAGGAACCATGATCTTCCCAATGGGTACAATGAATCTGCTGGGAAGCCATGATGGGAGCATGCCCCATGAGGGTATCCCCGAATTTTGGATATATTATGATAAGTTATGATAGTTGTATTTGCTGTACATGTTTTGCAGAGATATTGCGCCAGCAGCATAGTTGAATCTTTGAAGCGCATCACAAACCACAAGATGACTCAGACCGCAGAAAGCCAGGGCAGTCAGCTTCTGAATCATCAAAAGTAGAGTCGCCAAACCACAATGATAACAAGAAGAGGAACAATGTTGAAAATGTGACGGTAAAACTATTATTATTGGATATTGTTAGCATCCATATGATGACATGGGTGCTGTAAATGTCACATACTGTACATAAAACCGCTTTGGTTGAGGTCACCGCAACCAAAAGTCGCACTCCACGCAGTTGTTCATGGCCCTGCATCCTCGCTCCGGCTGCAGGATTGTGAATGTGCCCTGTGCCATGAGCTGATGGTTCAGCCAGTGGTACTGCCATGTTCACATGTGTGCCTCATCTTTTGTTTGTTGAAGATTGGTTTGTTGCCTCCCTTTCTTCAGGTGGGGTTCGGTTCCTCTTTACTTAGACTTAGATGGGCTGGGGGCTGATGTTCCTCAATGGGACAGCTCACCACCCAAGAAGATCTAGTTTCTTTATGAAGGCGTTTAGATGTGGAATTTCATGGCTTCCTGTCAAGAGTGAATGGTTCCATGAACTAGATTCCTTCAGCCTGCGGGTATGCACCATTTCCGTTGGTCAATCCCCGTTTTTTTGTTGGACTCCCTGATTCTCTTGCTCAATCCTCCAGCTGATCCACTTTTCACTATCAGGTTTTGCAGGGATGAACAACAGCAGGGGAAACCAGCCCCTCCTGATGAATCCCCATCCCTAGTTGATTACTGGTTGGTGGTTTGGAACATGAATTTTATGTTGCCATATACCCTCTGGTAATGACTAACATAGCTATTGAAAATGGCCATTTATAGTGAGTTTTCCCATTAAACATGGTGATTTTCCATAGTTATGTTAAATTACCAGAGGGTATCGGGAATTTCATGATCCCAACTGACGAACTCCATCATTTTTCAGAGGGGTAGGTTGAAACCACCAACCAGATCATGAGGAATCCCCTAAATGGTTACAGGTTGCCATGGAACATTGCCCAAATTTGTTGATAATTTTACGATCGTTTAACCATTCTCCAGTTGGATCCGGTTGCTTAATCCTCCATGTATACGTTGGTCTATAACCCCCATTAATATCCATTAATCATTAACTAACTACTTCGATATGTCTATAATTCTACCTACCATTAACCTTAATTAAGCTCTGGGTTGGTTCATCCTCCACTTGATCCTGTGAAGTTTGTGACTTTTTTTCCTTGATCTCCAGCTGTGTGAATCCCCTTGCTGTCTGAAATCCCCTGCATTTTTCACCGTTTCACCATGGTTTCGTTTGGGTGGTGTTTCATGTTAGGATTTCCATATCATTTGGATTCATTTGGACATATAATCGGACTATTTAGGAGGTGTTGATAGTAGTGGGTTTCATGTTTCGTTTGTTAACTTAGAAGGGATTCCCCATGTTTGGATCGATGATGATTAATAATTAATGATACAATCAGGAGTCGTTTCTTCATCAAATGCATGAAATGCTTGGAGGAATGATTAATGATTTGATCCCCCCAATATTAAACACCTCCTAAATAGGCATTACCCTGTGGTAAACTAACATAACTATGGAAAATCACCATGTTTAATGGGAAAATCCACTAGAAATGGTCATTTTCAATAGCTATTTTGACATAACCAGAGGGTATGTGGAAATCCCCTACGTCCCACCATGGTTTCTCGTTTCCAAGGTTCTGCAGACACTGCCTTGCGGAGTGCCTTCGTGGCCCCGCCCGTCGTTGCCCGCTCTGCCGGCGCTTGCTGCACGCCACCAGCGTGGAGGCTGACGGAAAAGCAGAGAGGGTGGCGTTTTTTTTTCGAAGAAAGCCATGGAACATGTGGGAAAAAGCAAAAAAAACATGGAAAATATGGTCAAATCGTGAAAACAAGATGAGCAATGTGGTAAAATCATGGCAAGCAAAAATGAACAATGTGGTAGAATAGTGAACAATCATGAATGAAACGCAATGAAACATATGGGAAGATACGTGCATATCATCTCAAGATATCTCAAGAATCTTGGGAAAAAGATGGGGTCAGATCTTCAACTGCCCATTGTCTCAGGTTGCGGAATCATTAGATGTTGTCCGGAATGTCTCAGAAAAAACATGAAATGCAAAGATGCTGAATGGATTTGGCCATGGCTCAAAGCCATTTCCAGAAAACAATGTTGGTTTGATGCCACTTTTGTATCCACATTTTGCAACCCGTCTTGTTTGGTCATACCCCAGTCTTTGTGCAAGTGCAGAAGCCCGGAGGATTTGGCAGTTTGCAGTCTTCTTAGCTCTTTCTTGGAGGATTCCGGGCTGCGTAGCGGTCCTTGTTGCTCCTGGAGGAAGTGGATCATGCTTTGTCACTGGGGAAGAAGATAACATGATATGTAAAATGACATAAACATTTAGTGACCATGAAATGCTGAACCCAGGAAGATAGAGGCGTAGTGTTTTTACGTGCAATTTAACGGGACCTCGGCTCACCTGAATTCGAGCATGCGGGTAGAGATAAACAATGCTAAATAGTGGAGGTACCAGGTACTGTCTCAAACTGTATTCAATTCCAAGGGGCATACTGTGCTTACTGCTTCTGAGATGCATATTCCATGTTCATCATTTTTCTCATTTTGGGGGATGATTGCGCTCCCGATTGACGTGGAGTTCGAGCAGATGGAACATGATGGAACCGACCTAATAGAAGTGGTGGGGTTCTCTGCACGGACTCGGTCACCATTTGGGATCCCAAAGTTGTGATTCCCTGTTCACAGTCCCCATCTCCACATTTCAAGAGTTCGCCCAGGAAAAATTCCCGGAGGAGTATCAGAAGCGTTGTGAAATCGCCAAGGAAGGGAATGTGGGGCCTGTGGGGTGGTTTTTCTGGAGCAGAAGTATGGATGAAGGTCACAAGCTGCACTCAGATTCCGCAACCCAGACTACTGGTATGGCATTGAAACCCATCCATTCTTCAGCAGCTAGCAGCTGTTGATCCAGAGGGTTTCTTCTTTCGCACATGCCTTATTGAGGGGAGCCAGATTCTTATCAGATTCTCATGATTGGGTGAGAGGATTGTCCAGGCCAGGATTGAGGACCCTCAAGACTCAATGAAGTACCCGCAATTCTGTTGGAGATGCGAATGATCAATCTCAAAATCTCCATCCCCCAAAGCTGCGCTTGTTCTCATGTTGGTACCAAGAGTGTATCATGTCATGGTTCAAGGCTTGGCTTCAAATTGGGTGATGATTTCACATCCCAAGAAGTATGGAAGATGAGTCTACAGAGGCGAGAATTTGCTGCTAGAAACTCAGACATTTCTGCCGGAATGCCCATCATGAGGAAAAGCACCATTTCTTCTGGCTCGATTTAGTACCCAAATTTTCCATAGTTATGTAATGTTATGTAAACGTTTACCAGAGGGTACAGGATGGTGCCCCCCAGTTATAAGTTAGTTTATAACCCCCATCAACTAGTTCGATATATCTACCATAAGTCCTACAAAAATTGTAGTTATAAACCAACTGAACGCTATCGAACTGGGGCACCACTATGTAGAAAAGCCATTTTTTCTGACTGACCGACCTCGACGCTCGAAGCCCTGCAGCTCCAGGAATGTCCCGTGGAACTTCGACCAAGCAGTGAGACACAGGAGCGAAAGGGAAGTCCTGCTGAAATCCATGGGAAATCCATGGGAAATCCATGGGAAATCCATGGGAAAAACGATGATTACTGGTTGATGGTTTCAAACATGAATTTTATTTTCCATCATATATGATAATCATCCCAACTGACTCATATTTTTCAGAGGGGTTGAAACCACCAACCAGGATTCTAATCTTTGAAATGGTCTGGGTATGTCCAAAAGACTTTCAAGATGCGCTTTCAAAATCCCCCAAGCATAGCCAAGCGGGACTGATGCATCTTGCAGATCCTGAGTATGGGTTAAGACCATGTATATAAAACCATGTAAGCTACGCTTGAGCTACGCTTGCTTTTCGTCTAAAATAGCTGGAACTGTTCGATGTTCATCCCATCAACTGTATAGTGTTTATCTTTAAATATTGAACATTCATGTAAATTATAGATGGCCCACCCCAATTTTGGTACTCATAAGTCTTCTCACCGTCTCACCTCCAATCTGCCATCAATCTACCACTAGGAGTTGCCTCTCTTTGTTCTTGATGCCATGCTGCCGCTGCAGCGTTTGCATCTGAATGTCTTTGAGCCCAGGCGTTTGGTTTGAGCCTGTTGTTTGAGCTGAGTCCTTTGAGCGTTTCCTAATTCAGATAGTCAAACATGGCCACCGCGTCATGTCATGTCATGTTCAACAGCGTTCGATCAGTTTCGAGTCCATCGTTTTTATTTTCAGGCTCCAGCAATCGATATAATCGATGAATGCAGAGCATGATTCACCTATATTCACATTCTGGTTGGTGGTTTCAAACATTTTTTATTTTCCATAATATATGGGATAATCCTTCCCATTGACGAACTCATATTTTTCAAGATGGTTAAAACCACCAACCAAAACATCATGTTTCATAAGTGAAGCGGACATACTTTTGATCACTAAAAAAATGCCGGTGACTGCTGCGGCCTGAGCTGGCAGCTGGTTGAACTCTTTTGCGACCAAACAAATGGATGGTTTAGGCAACCGAAAGTATAGAAACAGAAAGTCCTACTTTTTATTTCGTTGAATAGTGATGAGCAACTTTTGAAATGGACATAAATGAACATATCTTGTGTTTTTGTATATTTACTTATTTTAGGTTAGTAGTTAATATAATAGCTAAATGATGCTAAATGTTCTATCTCTGGAGGGTACTAGGGAAGTTCCTTCACAATAACTCTGTGATTTTTTCTCCCGCACCTGGGCTCAGATATTGCGCTCTGGTTCGCCGAGCTCTCGCCAGTGGGCGCCGCTTTGGCATGGTCGGCTGCTTGGACAAGCAGAGTCATCAGTGTTGGTTGATGATTGTACGGTGTTATATGGTTTATCATGGTTAATGTGGGTTAATGATGGTTAATCTACCATAATAAAGGTTAATCATGGTTGATAATGGGCATAATCATGGGATAATCATGGTTTATCATGGTTAATGATGGGATAATGTGGGTAAAACAATAATAAACTACCCATTTCGGAATGGTAACCACAACACCTTTAAAAATGGTGATGACTGGGGGATGGTTTATGGCATTGTTTTGCCCACATCAATGGAGATTATCATCCATTATGGCTCTGGGGTCCAAATCTGAACCAGACAGGATTGTTTTTCTGTGGGGTTTTACGAACCGTTACCACCTGGTTTAGCAGAAAGTGCAGAAGGTTTTTGATACAGACTTGATACGGCCAGATCATAATCAAGCATGGTATTTGGTAGAAGTTGGATATCGCTTAAGATTTATTACACTGCGAACCACTTTTGTGTGTCATGCGTATTTGTTGAGTAGTACACCATTACATAATATGACAGTGACATACCCATCAAATTCTAATCCTGTGGCATGATGTAAACATGCCACAGATTGAAGATTTTCGACAGGTAGCACGACCTGCGGTCGCATTCAGCGCTAGGCTTTGACCGGGAAATGAGCTTTCTGAAGCAGGGCGTGGAGGTTGTCATTGAGGACCCACGGCGTCGGGCATCGGGATTTCGATGGACTTCTCCCATGACATCCATGACTAGTTGCTGGTTTTAAGCATGTGTTAATGTACATGTTCCATAATTATTATGGCATAAAACTTGATTATAATTATCTGGTTGGTGGTTTGGAACATGTTTTTATTTTTCCACATCTTGGGAATAATAACCCCAACTGACTTTCATATTGTTCAGAGGGGTAGGTATACCACCAACCAGTTATCATTACTATCCCAAAATGATCCGTATTTTTGAGGCCTAGCGGATGATTTTTAGATATTTTTAGGCCACCCTCAGGCATATTTGATTTTAGCCCCAAACGGCCAGCTAGGACTGCATGCAAGCTCCCAACGGCCACTTCCAAGTTCGAATTGTGGGGACCCGCATCTTCCAATGTCTTGAGGCCCCTGGGCGGGAAGTACTTGGAGGTCCATCTGTAACTTTACATCTTGCTGGTAATCAGACATGGAAAAGCTGGAAAATCATCTGTAAATGTGGTTTTGATATGTTTTAATATGTTTGAATGAGAAAGCAATCTTGATATCAATGATGGATTTTCAATGGATTTTCCATTGCCATGTTTGATTACCGGAGGGTAAAAGAGCATCCACAGCATTGCTGACTTGAAACGTGCATGTCTTAGCGCCATGACGTTCCCTAAGTCAGGGAGATTGTTCAAAACTGGGGCCCCGCATCCTATCCCATGTTGATAAGCCTGACTTCCTAGCCCAAGCCTCGAACTTCAGAGAAGTCCCATGTGCTTTTCATGTTCTCAGCGCCTCCAAAATGATGACCAAATCCACCCAACATTGGAGGCCTCCCAGCACCCGGATGGCTACTACTTGGCCACGGTGAGCTTTCCCAGCCTGGAGCTGTCGGAGCTATCGGAGCTGTCGGACGCCTTGGAAGAAGAGCTGCAGCAGATGTTGAAAGATCTGCAGGACTGGCAGGTGCGCCCCCAGATTTCGCGCAGATTTTGGGGATGGTGAATATGACTAGGAATATGACTAGGAATATGACTAGGAATATGACTAGGAATATGACTAGGAATATGACTAGGAATATGACTAGGAATATGACTAGGAATATGACTAGGAATATGACTAGGAATATGACTAGGAATATGACTAGGAATATGGCTAGGAATATGACTAGGAATATGACTAGGAATATGGCTAGGAATATGGCTAGGAATATGGCTAGGAATATGGCTAGGAATATGGCTAGGAATATGACTAGGAATATGACTAGGAATATGACTAGGAATATGACTAGGAATATGACTAGGAATATGACTAGGAATATGACTAAGGGGGGGGAATAATAGACAGTATGGAATATGAACTAGGCAATATACTATGAAATATGACTAGTAATATGACAGTGAATATTACTAGGAATTGTACTAGATATGACTATGAATATGACTATAGAATATGGTCATGAATATGACTAGGAATTAACTAGGAATATGGCTGGCATATGGCTAAAGTATATGTCTAGGAATATGGCTATGAAGTATGGAGCAGTGAATAACTACTAGAATGAAAGTACTAGGAATATGACTAGGAATATGACTAGGAATATGACTAGGAATATGACTAGGAATATGACTAGGAATATGACTAGGAATATGACTAGGAATATGACTAGGAATATGACTAGGAATATGGCTAGGAATATGGCTAGGAATATAACTAGGAATATGGCTAGGAATATGGCTAGGAATATGGCTAGGAATATGGCTAGGAATATGGCTAGGAATATGACTAGGAATATGACTAGGAATATGACTAGGAATATGACTAGGAATATGACTAGGAATATGACTAGTTCCCTCCATTTTCCAAGCTCTGGGTCATACTTCATATCGGTTGCACCCCATTGATCCCCATTGCCCATATTGCCCTTCGATTGTTTATATGAGTTTCCCATCATGATAAACCCTGGGTGGAAGGATTTAACCTTCCGTTCTCCATCAATGCCACAGCAACCGACTGGAACGATTACACCGTCCAGGCATGATGATCCTCTCAGAATTCTAGTAAAATATCATCCATTTGCCAATATCATTCGCCATCACTTCACCGAGATCATAGTACATAAGCCATATCAACAATCTACCAACTCTTCAAGAGTAGAACATCTTGAAGAATTTCATCGAATTTCAGAAAGGGTTGGTATTTCATAGACAATCTTGGAATTTCATAGACTATCCTCAACCTAGCCTCTTTCTCATTGGATTGGCTTAAGGGAAAAAAATAACCGGACCCCCCCCAAAAAAATCATGGTAAAAACCACGGGTATCTGGAGAAGATTTTCCAAACAAACCAATCCAATGACTTTCATGTGGGTATGAGTCAAAATTGGGTATAGTTACCATCTGGTTATTTAACACAGCCATGGAAAATCACCATTTGTAATAGGTAAACCATCTATTTCTATGGGTCATTTTCCATGGCAAACTGTTAGTCATAACCAGAGGGTAGATGGTTAATACATGTGAATACTAATTAGATAAGAATAGACCAAAATCTGTCAGGTCCCCCCCAGGTCCCCCAGGTCCCCCAGGTCCCCCAGGCCCTGGTCCGTTTGGAGCGGCCGCAGCAGCTGGACGCTATCCTGCGAGACCTGGGCCCGCGGCCACCCGCCACGCAGCTGGGAGCGCTGATGCTGTGGCTGGCGCCTTGCCATGGACCGTGGTGGGAAACGGTCCAAAAAACGTATGGATGGCCCTATGGGAATGGTTGTTAGATGTTTTTATGGACAAAAAAAGAAGTGGTAAATTGATGTAATTTGATGTACATTGATGTAAATTGATGTAAATTGATGTAAAATGATGTAAATTGATGTAAATTGATGTAAATTGGTAAGTCAAGAGAGTTTAAGATGGTTGGAAAATTTGTGTTTTGCAGTGGTGAAGAAAGTTGAATCATAAAAAAATGGCTTTAGCATGGTTTAATCACCGGAAAGATAGGAGCTTTTCTGGGTGAACCGACAAGCTGGGTACTTTGATCTTTTGCTGAAAATGGAGAGTATCGTACTTTGAAACAACATGATAATGGCCATATTTTTTTGGGTTGGTCAAATTCTGATATGTCCCATCAGTTTCCCATTTAAAGCTGGTTTTATCTTGTCAAATTACTAGCTGAATCTATTTCCCCAAGGGTTTCGCCACTCATTGCAATCTATTTATACACCCATGATCTTCCCATTGTACACCTGTGATATGCCCATGATCTTCCCACCATATGTTGTACGTAGGTGAAAACATCATTCTTTGTGTGTTTTTGCGTGTTTCCCCATTTCTTATTCCCCATTTGGATGATCAATTCCTATGGATTTCCCTGTGTTTTCCAGGTCTTCCTTACTAAAACTCCTATGTTTCCTCAATGGAAAGCATCCTTTTTATATCATTTTTGGAGGGTCCAAAATTCTAATTTTTCCTCATGGAAAGTTTCCACTCATATAAAAATATATGTTCTTTCTGGGTCAAATTCCATCAACTTCCCATTTTCCAGCAGGATTCTGAATTCCTATATGATGATGTCCATTTATTGTTCCATATTTCGTCAAAATGGCCATGGAAATCATATCGGAATTCACAATCCTGTTCCATCGGAAAATGGCTAACAAAAATGCCATGTTCTCCCATTTAGTTCGCAGTTTTTTTCCATGTCTCCGTTGGGCCCCATGGTTTTCTCCCCATTTTTCGGAACCGAGGCAGCGCTGCTGAATCCCTTGCCGCCGCTGGGCCTGGCTCCGGAGCTGCGGCCGCAGGTCCTGGCGGCGCCGGACGCCGCGGCGCGGCTGGCAGCGGTGCGGCAAGGCGTGGAAAGTGGGGAGTTTCACCCGGGTTTTTTTGGGGATTGAAACAGAAACTCAATGGATTGGTTTAAGGGAAAATTTACAGGAAAACCCCATATTTAATGGGAAAATCTTTGGTTTCCTGTAGATTTTCCCTTAAACCAATCCATTGAGAAACTGGTTGGTGGTTTGGAACTTATGTTTTTTCCATTCAGTTGGGAGTTTCATCATCACTGACGAACTCCATGATTTTTCAGAGGGGTATACCACCAACCAGGAAAAAAAATCAGAGAACTGGGGTGAAACTGGTCGCCAAATTCATGACAAAAACCGTCCTTGGGCAGGCCTTGAAAACTCCTTGGCCCACCTGAGACTTCTCTCTAAGTCACCTCTTCGCAGGCGGCGATTTGTGGATGGGTTGTATGATTTACCATCTGGTTATGACTAACAGTTTGCCATGGAAAGATCCACCATTTTTTATAGGTAAACCATCTATTTCGATTAGGGCCATCTATACCATGGCTATGTTAAATAACCAGAGGGTAACAAACAAGATGGGTGGGACTGAAGATATGGTATCCCTCAAAATAGCTATTTCATATGGGAACATGATTAATTTCCAATGAATGGAATGCGGACCATGTTCTCAGACAGCCACCCAAATGTGGGAAAAGCGAACCACCAACTCATGGGATATGGGGAACTTGTTCCAACTTTTGCGAAGAAATATGGTGATACGACATGATACGAAGCACCAAAACATGCAATAAAACATGAGTTTTGCACAAGACCAGAGCACTTTCGGCATGGTTGCTGTATCATTTTCCATGACATCAATGTGGCATTTGGGTGAGACGATCTGTCAGTCCCCAGCTGTCAAACAAAGTTTCCTTACATATGATGTTGTTTCATGGGGGAAGAAAAAAGTTTCCCAAATTAGGAACAAGCAGCAGAGCAGGTGAACAGATTACCCTCTGGTAATTTAACATAGCTATTGAAAATGGCCATTTATAGTGAGTTTTCCCATTAAAAATGTTAGTTTACCGGAGGGTATGAGGATGAGGATGATGAGGATGATGATGGATGGCCTCAGCGAGGTGGTGTCTCTACCTCTTTCGGCTCCCTGCTCCAGTGATGATGACCAGCGTCATGGCTGGGACCTCAGTGGTTTTGCTCGAAAGTGCCCACCTGCTGGGCGACGAGCTCATCCATGCTCGCAGCGGAAAATCACAGTGAATGACTGTTAAAGAGGTATTGATCTAATTTTGGTGATGTTCAAGTGCCATGTTCAATCACGGGAGAGAAACTCATAGGAAACTCCAGCGACACAGGTGTAAATCGGTATCAATTATAGAGTTGTTTTCATCCCTACTCAGAATGCGTTTTGTTCAGGTGACCATTTTTTCTGGGATGCGTTGAAACTACTCACTACATTGTCAGAAAGTATAAGATGGTTCTTTGCGAAGCGCACATGCAGTGAATGCACACAATGTGAATGTAACCAGAGATGTATAGAGATTCTTTGAATTCGCAACGCTGATGTAAGGTGCACAACAGGCAGTCTGACCCCGCAAACCCTGAAACAAAAATGGTTGGTAGGAAAGTTGATTTCCTGATACTGCTATTTTCCCCAAAATCAACCGGGTGCTAGTTCATATCCCCCATTTGGTATGGTAATCATGTCAAACTTATTCAATCTGTGTGAGGAGAAACCGTTTCAACGTCAATCTCACACAACCTCCATGCAGGTGGTTTGAACAATGTTTTTATGTTCAAGCCTCGGGGAAAACTCCAGGTGACCCAGGTTTTTCAGTGGTGAACTGCGATCATCTCCTCAAGTCAAGTGTAGATTATGTTTCAATCCCTGATTTTTTAGCCCAAGAAGTTGGAAATTCACAGTAAAAATATGTAAACATCTCATGTTTTCCCAGAAAAAAAACTCAGTTGTTCCGGATTTAGCACTCACCTGGTGTTTGGGAAACCAGGTCTTTGCCTGTCTCGTCTCAGCCATCTTCCCTGGAGCGAAATAATAGGACCTGATTGGTGCCCTGTAAGTGATGTCCGACTGGGGAAGATATCACCAGTGATGTTGGGATGATTGGGATGGGCAAAAATTGTAGGTGAATGGGATTTAATGACAGATGCATGGTATATGCCTATATGCAAGCAAAAATATGATATTTATTGATATGTGGTATTGTCCTGAAACACGAGTACCATCCAAAATATCAATTTGATGTGTGAAGGATGATAAAAACCATCTAGTTTGGAAGGGCACCCTATTTTAAACGATATAAATTTAAGGAGTGTTAGTTAATATGCATAGAAAAAGGGATTTATTGACCAGCAATAATCCAATTCATCAAGAAACATTGGAATGCAACCAGCAAAGGAGTTGAATATAATGTGGTAAATCAACTGACAAAGGCTAGTTTCATTCTTGAACATATGTGGTCTTACATGGCATGATATTATACTGTATGAATAATGCGTGTATATACATATATATACTGTATATACACATACAAATACAATAAATACATATAAATATATTCAAATGCATATAAAGACTGTATATTTAAATACATATAAATACATATAAATACATACAAATACATGTGAATACTTGTAAATATGTATAACTACATATATATATATACAAATACATATAGATACATATAAAAACAGATGGAAACCTTGCAGGCGACGCTGAGGAAGTCCCTGATGAAGAAATGAGAGACAGACCAACAGAAAGAAAGAAACTTTCAACAAGAAGAATTTGGGGAGCCAGAGGCTCATCAACTTCAAGTGCTTTGTATGAAATTGCAAGCACGCCACACAAAATTGAAAAAGCACCAGAGACAGCAACTGCAGCCAATGACAGCAAATCTAAGCATACAGTTGACAAAGAAACACAGGAACTCTTGAAGCAGATGAAAGAGCTTAGTCTCCAAATGAAAGCTGATTTGGAAAGCATGAAGTCATCAAAAGCGGCAACAAGTGAACAAGTGACCGGACAGCTGGACAACATGAACGAGCAACTGCAAAGGCTGACAGATATGGCAAAGAGGCATGATGATGAAATTGATGACGTGCGAGGCATGTCCGATCTCACACACGAGCTAGTGCTGGATAGAGAGATCCGAGAAAACAAATGCAAAATGATCATCAAATCCTGGCCGAAGGAGGCCACATATTCAGACCGAGTACGTGTCACCAACTGGCTGCTACAGAAGGCAAACGTACATGAAACAACGCAGCAGGAACATGGCTACTACACTGCAGGCAGACGATATCAACTATCGCCTGTCACGATTCTCACCTTTCATGACCAAGACACCCACCACACCTTTGAGAAGTATGCGTACACATCTTTCTCTGCAAAGTGGCCTTTGTACTACTGGGATGTTCATGGGAACTATGTCCAACACTGGAAGGGTTCTTGGCACAAGCTGGTCATCACGAACTATTTGGGAAAAGCGGACCTGATCATGAACTTGTCGCTGACCACCGCTTTGCACATATTGACAAGCCAACAAGAAACTGGACCCATCAGTTCCACCAAGCTGACCCACAGAACAACAGACAAACAAATCTATGATGTTGAAGCGAAGAAGGTTCTAGCGAAGGTGACTTACAACAAGGATAAGGGAGTACTAGCCATGATCGTCCAGAAGGAGCTCATCGACGTTATCACAGAAAATTGGCACGAGGCATGGAGAGTTGTGCACAAGGATCATCCTCGGTATCCTTCCTACAACAGGTATCCATACGCAATCACCTTTGCAGCCGCAAGAACAGAGGATGAGCTCAAGGAAGACCATATGGAGTGACATTGCGCCAAGGGCGCCCGGATAATACAGACTAAGACACATACACAGGGAAGAAGGCAACAATGGAGGCAACAATGGAGGCAACAATGGAGGCAACAACAGAGACGACACAGTCTCGCAAAACTAGGAAACAATAACAACGAACTTATATAAATGTAACAAAGGAAAGAAACCAGAAAGACGCAGATGTCGCCCACCCACAGTTTCACCACCACCACCTTCTCGAAGGTACCCCGGGACAGTGCCCTTAGGGCTGGCTAAGCGAAACCAGAGGAGATTGCGCTGTGAATCCCCCAAGGATTTCTTTTACAATAAAAGGGCTAAAGCCGCTCTCAAACTTAAACGCAAATATATCAGAAGGGAATGGAGGTACTTCAAGCGCAATCGCCTGTGGGACCGAGCCAAGAAGGCAGCCAAGAGACTGAACAAACAGCAAGAACCTAGTAGCAGAAGACATCGAAAACGGATTTTGATGAAACATGCTATGTACAATGCCAGGATATGGTTCAATAACACGATTTTAGAACGGCGAAAGGAATTTAAAAATCATTGCGATGCGATCAAAGCGCAACAGAAAAGCCTGCAAGAAAGTAATCAAATCCAAAGAAAACAATCAAAGCAGCACAAACTTAGGTGCTTCAAGGATTTGAAGATTGGAACGCTGAACGTGAGGGGTTGCAACCACCTGACCAAAAGGGAACTCATTGATGATGTTATAAAGAAACACCATTATGATTTACTTTTAGTTACCGAAACCAATGTTAACACTTGTAGCTGGGAAAAGTGGGATAACTCAGTGTGTTTTTTCAGCAGTGGTGTAGACCCAAAAGTTAGGGATAGGGAAGAGAAACGTAGATTAGACGGCAGGCCAGAAGGTGCACGTGTCAATTACAGGCTGTTACCAGATTTCGAGAATGCTGGAGTAGGCATCGTGGTTCAAACAAATTTGCTCCCTAGCTTGCATGATGTGAAACAAGTTAATGGAAGGATTATATCTGCAACTTTTAAAGCGGAGGGATCCCCAATGACCTTTATTTGCGCATATGCCCCCCATAGTGGTCATAGCACCGAATTAAAGGAGGAATTTTACGATCAACTTTCTACGGAAATTTCCCAAACTAAAGGCCGTTATATTATCGGCGGTGATTTCAATGCTCGGCTCCATTACGTGAGGGAACATGAGAAAGATGTTTGCGGACCATTTATCATTGGAAGGGGGAATGATTATTTGAATAATATGAGTGATGCGGTAAAAGAAAACAGAGCTCTTTTCCTTGGTTTTTGCCAACTTCATGGTCTCAACATTCTGAATAGCCAGTATTCAAAACCACCCGATAAATTAATTACTTATAAAGAGAAAATACATATCGGGGAAAATGAGCAAACTAATGGTCCCCCATTCAATGCTATTAAATACGGGCAAATTGATTACTGGCTTATCAACAACGAAGGGAAAAGAGCTGTGTTAGATGTCCAAAGTAGAAAAGACATTGGGTTTGACTCAGACCATTTCTTGTTAGAGTGTAGGCTTACTGTGACAACGATGTGTGGGAAGGAACATAACTCTTTCCAAACTAAACGTTACTCCAAACCTGACCCTATGAAATGGAAGGCCTACAACGATAAAGTTCGTTCCCTACTAGAAGGCAAGCGATGTGATTTAGACATTTTTACAAAAGCTATTTTGGAGGGAGCAGATGATGCACTTGATAGGGAGCCGAGGGAGAAAAAAAAGACATTTATCAAACATGAAACATGGAAAAAAAATCCAGGAAAAAATGAAAAAACGCGGATCGGTGCGACAAAGAAAGATATTGCAGACCTTAATAGAGAAATTGCTCGCATGGCTCGAAGGGACAAGCAAAGTTGTTTGATAGAAGAATTTTCGAAAACCCAAATGACATCAATAAGAGGGGATTATGGAAAGCGGTCAAGGGTTTAAAGAAGAAATTTGTTCCAAACTATGTTAAGATGAAAAACTTAGATGGGAAGCATGTCCCTTTGAACCAAAGAGCTGAAACAATAGCAGACTATCTCGAAAAAATACATTGGACTAATCCAGTGGAACACACGGTGAACACTGGCAGTATACTTGAAGATAACAATGCTTTAGAAGAATGTTTCACGATGCCAGAACTTTGTACAGCAATTAAAAGGGCGAAACCCAACAAACAACCAGGCCCTGATGGGATAACCATGGAACTGGTTAAGTGGCTTGACAATGCCAACAGGCGCGTTTTACTAGATCTTGTTAACACTTGGTGGGAATCCCAAACAGCGCCGTCGGCATTGTTTCTTGCCCGTGTTGTCCCAATTTCAAAAAGGGAGATACCGATATTGCTGCTAACTATAGACCAATCTCATTTGTAAACAGTTTTTACAAAATATACATGGTTATGATCAGGGCCAGGATGCAGGACGCGACGGAGCAAGTACTTTCAAGGACCCAGTACGGTTTCAGACCTCATAGATCAACTTCGCATGCAATATACATTCTCAGAAGGATTCAGGACTATTCAGAAATTAAGGGGACCCACCTTAGCATTGCTTTACTCGATTGGGAAAAAGCGTTTGATAAAATTCAACATGACAAGCTTATTCTTGCTTTGCGCCGACTGGGCTTCAGCCGTCGCTATACTGAGGTCATTGCGGATTGTTATTCTAAGCCTATGTTTTTCGTCAAAGATAATTTTGGTTCATCTAGTACTAAGCAACAGGCCTCCGGGATTCGTCAAGGATGTCCATTATCCCCATTTCTTTTTGTTTTAGTCATGACCTGCATAGACTTTGATATCCAACAGAGCGTTTCATCGTATGTTACTAACAACCGAATCCCCGGGGTGGACTTTGACATGATTTTTTACGCAGATGACACAGTGCTTTTCTCAAAAAGCAACAGAGGGTTAAATGAATTGTTACGTCTCACCGAGCACGTGTCCAAAGGATATGGCTTGGGACTCAATAAAGGTAAATGTGTCGCAATCGCCATGAATAATAATGGTTCCATCCATTTTGACGATGGTACCCCTTTAACAAAGGAATTCGAAGCCACATACTTGGGAAATGAAATAAACAAGACGGTCAATATTCAATTCGAGATCTTTAACAAAATGTCGGAAGTGCGACGCACATGGTACAAGCTCGAGCCGTACTGGAAAGCATCCGGGGCGAGTAAAAAATGGAAACTCATTATCTATGACGCCATAATTCGTAGTAAATTGTTGTATGGTTTAGAAACCATTCACTTGACGCAGGCTATGAGCAGAAAATTAGATGCTTTCCAGATGCGCGGCCTACGGAGAATTTTACAACGCAACTCCACTTTTATAGACCGTAGAAATACAAACAAATCATTATTAGAAGAAGCAAGTTCCATCGCTTACCCATCTCGCTGTGACCGCAGAAAAATTATACCGTTCAGTGAGTATCCAATGAATAGACGAGTAAAATTGTTTGGACACATATTAAGAAGCAACGGCAACGACCCTATGAGGCAAATTTCTTTTCTACCTGCTTCTGCGCACAGAGTTGAATACGGAACCAAGCGAGTTGGAAAGCCTCGTCAAAATTGGCTGCATCATACCAAAAAGTATGTTTATGAAAACATATTAGGGCATTATGATTATGGTGAGACTCACATGAACGATCAAAGGGTGTATGAAGCAGCCGTAAGCAGACAGTTTTAGCGTTCAGTCTCTTGCTGCGCCAACGCCTCGCAGCTCAATCGTCTAATTCAGTCGATGCGAGGTATGGCTGCAAAAAAAAACATATAAAACATATTAACACATATAAATAAATATATATATTTATACATACATGTACGTACATATAAATACATATAAATACATACATATAAATACATATAGATACATATAAATACATGTAAATACATATAATTGATACACAGTTTTGTTCTTGCAGGGCGGATGCTTAATCATGGCCGTGATGAGGGGGAGTAACAATTGGCTTGGATAGCTTCAGTGGATATGTGCGTGAGCTCGGGTGGAGGGTTGATGGCCCCACGATGAATCAACAGCAGTGGATGGAGTGGCACCAAAGAGCACCATATTCTCATGGTCTGAATAGTTGTAGGATTTTTTTTTGAATAGTGATGTGTAATTGATTGTAAGTGTTTTCAACTGTATGTATATAATTGCATTTCGTATTTCAATCACTAGACAGCACAACACCACAATTTTCAAGCTTCTCGTAGCCCTACTGCTACATTACTTCATATGATTCCGATGGCATAGTGCTGCAAGTGCCTGGTTTTCTGCGGAGGACTGGAGCCCTTTTTCAGTGAAGCGGCCGACAGCCATGGACAGCCATGTTTTCCGTCCAGAGAGGTGGTAGAATCTGATAGAAGAAGCCACGGCAAGTGGCTACTCTTATAACATCCGAAGTCTCTAGGATGCAGGTTTTTCATTTTTTTTTGATTTGATAGGTTTCAGATATGATTTGTTGTGATTTTGATACTCTTCATGCAATGGCATTCACTGATTTCGATAGGATAGACTGGTGTTTGTCCCTCTTGGGGAAACGTGAATATATTTTCGAGTGAGTTGTAAGATAGACTACGTTTCTAATTGTTTGTTGATTTTGGAAAATGTTACCCTCCGGTTATTTAAGATAGCTATGGAAAATTGCCCATTTACAGATGATTCTCCCATTAAAACCTCCATTTATAAGGAATTTTCCATAGCTATGTTAAATAACCAACCATATGGTAGATTTTCTGAAAGATGAAAGAGTGGCAGGGAAGAAATACACACCTCTCTGTTCCTGTCCGCAGCTGAAGCCTCTGTGATAGGCAATGCTGGTTGCTCGCCTAAGTCCGGTCCGGTAAGTCCTGCTGGGGAAAAGCCGAGAATGGTAGTATGATCATAACTTCATAACTATATTGGATGTATGACATTCTCATCCAATATGTATTTTTATATATTTAACTGTTAAACTATCGTTGATATAGTATGTTAAAACAGTATAAATTAATATACATACATAAATATATATATGTGTGTGTGTGTTGGATATTTGGTGGGTTTCAACGATTCTTCTGTCATCTCTCAGAGTCGAAGCACCCTTTTTTTAGCTCTTGGATGTCTTGGATGTCTCTTTTTTTCCCAGATGAATGCCAGTGCTTGGGAAAACCATAAAGCAATGGCTGTGGTGATTATCTCGAGCCTCGAAACGCCCCGGGATTTGGACATTTGGGGGTATCCACTGGCAGAAAAACGGCTGCTTGAAATTCACCATGAAATGCACCCGTGGTTTGTGGATTTCATCGCTTCATTTGTGGATCTTGGATTTTGACAGGTCTGCAGTTTCGCAGGTTCAACCCAAGGACGAAAAAGTGTAGATTAGGGAAGGCACCATGCGGCAATGCTTTACTTGAGACGTCGAAATACTAAAAACCAGGACCTCCAACTAGAATGGGGGGTGTCCTAAAATAGGGGTACCTCCAGTTATCATCCATTTATAGATGGAATTTTCCATGAAACAAACCATCCAGCTATTGGGGTACCAACATACTATCATGGAAACAACCACATACGGAGCCCTTGCCGCTGTTTAACCCCTTGCAGTAACCATGCTCTCAAGCGCTGCCAAAGCTATGTCATGCAGCGACTGCAACGTCTGCCAGCATCTCAACACCGCACTGGTTGATGTGACCATGGATGATGGACGATGATGGACGGTGATGGCATGTCAGGTAGGTAAAATATATTACTGAAAATCAGTCAGATCATATCATATTCTATCCATTTTTGATAGATTGTTCTTCCAGGTTTTCCCAAGTTTTCCCAGCTAAGCCCGTTCAGCCAGATAGCCAGGATTCATCATTGATAGTCAACATTGGTCAATTTCCCATAGTGATATATATTTTCATATGTGTTTGTTAGATTCTTTGCAAACTCAGCTAGGCAATTGTAACCAATTTGACCGTAGATGTGTCACTGCGCATTTGCTATTTGACACTGCATTCACTAGAATCACTACATACAGTCAATGTTGATAGTCAATGTTGTTCAATTTTGGTGAATACATCAGGTCTTTGCACATATATTACACGTTTTGATTATTATTGTTGTTATTATTATTTGTTATTATTATTGTTATTGTTATTATTATATTATAACTATATATATGTGTGTGTTTTCAGTATACAAGTTCAGCCAGGTTGCTTCTTCAAAAATGGGGGCAAGTCCCCAGCTCACAAAGCCATCACAACACAGTTGCTCGTGATTCGCTGGAAATTCAGCCAGGTCATGACCATGACGCCATGACGATGACGCTACTTAGATGGGCCATGGAGTTAGTTAACTTAGTTAACTAGTTAGTAAATGGATTATTTCATTGGGATATAGAGGGTAACAAATCCCCAGTTACTAACCAGTTAGTGAATCCCATGTCCCATCTAAGTATGACTTCGTATCTGTCAATCTCTTTGGAAACGACGGTGACGACTGGGGACTGGGGATCCCCCAGGCCATCATGGCTCCGAGCAGCTTGATCTTTTCGCAAGTCGAAGCAGGCCTGGCCTGGGATCAGAAAACATGGCGATGTCTCCCAGCGTTTTGAGATCAGCCAAGTCCTGATTGACTTTGAATATCTGGCTGATTGTGGATCTGGGTGTATATCAGGATTATATCTGGGTATATCACTACTGAATATCTGTGAATATCTTTGAATATCGAATTGTGGAGAATTATATCAGTATATACAGTTGATTACAGTAGTATCTTAATAGTAGTATAGGATGTTACCGGTCGCTACTGCACCGAAATTTTATTTGGCAGAAACTGGAGGGGGGCCAGACTTGACTCGTCGCGGCAATCCTTGCAATCCTTCAGGTTCACAGCTTTAGCAGCTTTGGAGCTGGATGTTCCGAGACGCCAACATTTGGGGTCATTCTTTGAAGGAGATATGCTTTGCTTTTAAATGAGCAGTGGCTGCCAGACCCTACTTTGTTGATGATCAGCTTTGTGATTATACTAGCCATATATATATATTGGGGATCATTACCAATAGGGGAATGTTTATAAACCAAGCAGTATAATGGAATGATAGAGGGATTTTGAACACTGCTCAAATGGTTCAAGGTTGGTTGCGAAGCCAAGTTAGCCAAGTGGGCGTATGTAGCATTGCGTATCGATGTATGAGAAGGGATATAATTAAGCATGACTGCATCTATGTTTCTTACTTTAAGGCATTTGACCATGTGATCAGAACTATTCCGAGCCCAAAAACGAAAGTGCATGTCATGTATCATCAGTCACTGGATTGATTTCAATATTGTTGTACATATTGCGATCTCTTCTAAGTATTCCCTCAATCCAAATTCAATGCTATAAGTTGAAAGCCAACAACATTCAATTCAAATCATCTCATCCTTGACTTTTCAGGACCAGCCCTTTCAAGTCGACCCAGCTCCTTCTTCGGCCCAAAGAGGCGCGTGCCGTGCCTTTTCGGATGTGTTCCAGGATGGAAATCCCCATGTTTCCTCCGGATCCAGAAATTTCAGCTCTATGACTGAGGGGGATGTTTTTGTTGAGTTCCTAAATTTCACCTGGAGCTCAGGACTAAGGTCATATTAATCAAATTACCCTCTGGTAAACTAACATAACTATGGAAATCACCATTTTTAATGGGAATATCCACTATAAATCACCATTTTCAATAGCTATTGTGACATAACCAGAGGGTATCTAGGTTGAAGCAAGAGAAAGTGGGGATGTAACACCAACACAACCGGCGAAAGCCTGGACCAGGCGACTAGATGGAGGGGTCCGCGATCCTGATGGAGGTCTGGAGAGGAGCTTTTTGGTGCCAGAAATGGGGTATCAATGAGGTATCAACAAAAAAAATGCCATTTGAAATATGGAAAGTGATAAGCCATTTGGGTATATAAAAGAGGTACCCTCTTTTTAGACAAGCAATGATCAAAATATTCATAAGCAGCATAAAATGAGTGACATTTGAAAATCAGCTGGAGTAAAAAAAAATGTATTAAGATTTCAGACTAAAGGTCACTAACTTTAAGTGGGTCCATTTGGACCCTGTTTCAATAACTTGTTCATGGTAACATTCATAATGTTACCAGGTTAAGCCAGGCTCCTCAAGATCAAGATCTAGTAGACCCCAGGTGCCATTGTCGAAGACACCAGCTGTCCGAGGTGCTTGAAACGGGATCCAGGTGTTTCAAATACAGAAGGGGTGACGGTTATAACCGACGGTTAGCCAACATGAAACCATCCAGAGATGGATTTTAATCGTGAAAACATGGGATTCAATCATCCAATAGTGGGGTTTAACCTGGTTAAACCATCAAAAAAATCAGATTTTAGCCAATTTGACATTGAGATTCAACCAACAAAAAATGATTTGATAAAGAAAGCTGGAAGTGAGACCACATAAATCGCTGCGTTGAAGCGTCGATCAATGGAGCCAACATTTGAGCTTCCGATGGAAAGATCTGTCGATCGGATTGTCGTTAAATTCGCAGTGACCCGTCAATTGCGTCAAAGTTATTGTCCTAGAATGTCCTAGATGGCCAAGAATCAGGCAGTGCAGCTGCCACATCCACAGTTTAGGTAAATTTATGTCAATTTCAGCCTCATTTCTCGGGTCATTTGCGCAACATTTGCGCAACATTTGCGCAGGCCTGATATGCAAGAAAACGCGCACGGCACTGGCTTGAAAGCTGGCATTCAAATCGGGTGCCTCTCCTCAGTCTCCGTCCAAGCAGCGTATCTGGATACATCTGGATGAATTGTAGCCATGCATTTCAAAATTCTAAAATTCTCAAGACCCAGACTTCATGTTTTGTTGGCTTATAAGAAAATGGCCAAGCACCAAATACATCCAAATACTGTAGCCTGCTAAAAGTTGAACTAGAAGGAGATCAACACACCTAGGTAAACCAAGGAATGCTGCTCCACTAGTGGTACTTTGTAACAGTTTTCCAATGTTTTTCATGGGATTTGAACCGCAGCTGTTGATGTCTTATGTGTGCATGGTTGAAAGCTCTTATACTGTCCCCCTTGTGCCTCTGTGACGCAATCAGTAAAATAATCTTAATCTTGCGGATTCATTTCTTAAAGTTTTTTTCCCCCAGGTTCTTGTCATTCATCGGAGATTGGGATCTTTTGGGTTGCTCCCTTAAATGGTTTCAAACTGAGGGTTTCCACGATCTTTTTCCGCCGGAAGCTCAGGTTGTACCATGGGTGTCTCCCCCAAATAGCCATTTTTTCATGGGGAGAATGGGGATGAACATATGCAAAAACAAACCTGCAGGAAATCATAGATTTGTCAGCCAAATCTGGGGTTGCTTGTGAAATGTCTCAAAACAAAATCTGACGAGTGCGCAGATGCAGTTGAAAGCTCCAACCAGAAGATCATTTATGTCATGATGTTACGAATCATTTTGTCATCTCCATATGCCGGGGAGATTTTTCAAGCCTAGCATGTGAGATCTGACCCTTTGTGGCCTTGTGATGCCTTGTGATCCCCGCGCCGTGTGCCCAGTTGGTATCCCTATCGGCATTGCGGGTGGTTTCTTCTACCAGGCGGAACCCGTGGGAAGCCACCAAGAACAGGTGCTTGGTGTTTCAATGTGCAAGTTTGAAGCTTAAATTCACAAGGCATTCCGACTTTGGGAATCTTTGGGATATATGTTATTACTAATATTACTATACATATATATAATATATATATATACACATGGAAATATGGATATGTACATGATAAATGTGACGCTGTATTTTTCAGGCTCAACATGAACTGCTGAATGGTTTGATATACTAAGACCTTGTGAAATCCTCGTGGTGCATCCCTGAAACTTCACCACCAAATTGATCCACTCTTACCTATTACCATTTGACAATCTAGCATGGCGATTTAAGTTCTCATTTCTTTGCCGCAAAGCCTGAGTTTGGCGTAGGCTATGTCAGCCTGTCGGCATCTAATTACTCTTGTACCTTTCCTCTGTGTGTATGGTTTATTGCAATGCAGGTTCGATACCCAGTGGGTAGTCCAAAATGAAAATACCCTCTGGTAAACTAACATAACTATTGAAAATTGCCATTTATAGTTGATTTACCCATTAAAAATGACGATTTTCAATAGCTATGTTAAATCACCAGAGGGTATCCCAGAGTCTGCGAAATCACTCTAGACTTAACTCCTGGTGAACGCCCCATTGATGGATCCATGGATAGATCTTACAGTGAGTTTTTGCTAAATACCTGAAATAAACTCCGTAGCAAACCCGTCTCCAAGACACAAAATCAGGTCCCAAATATCCAGGTGAGTTTATCCAAAGAATAGGCGTACTCCAAGAATCCGTTCAATTTCAAAAATAAATGGTCCTCCTAACAATTTTCTGTATTTAGCTAAGTTGCTTTATTCATGTTAACAACGGATTTTTTGGTGGATATTGTGTGATATATCATATCCATAGTTGGTATGCCACCTGTCCCATGATGCAATGTTTTGAACAAAAGGACACGCACTATTTCGAACAGATTAGATCATAGTAGCACTTTTTTCTGAAATGACTAAATGACCATCAACAAAACTGGGTATTACGGTAGCACCTTTCCCTAAATTACCCTCTGGTAATCTAACATATCTATGGAACATGGCCCATGAAACTAGTTGATGACTATACCTAAGATGTTCAGATTTTCCAGTTCGCAAACTGTTAGTCATTACCTAGCCGGCTAACATCAAAAAAACCTTGGAAAAACCTCAGCTTTGCTCCGCCAGATTTACGAAAAAACCGTGGAGCTGCGAAAACAGCACGACGCCGAGGCAGCTGAGGCTGCAAAGGCCAAGTCTCGGAGTTGGCGCAGATGCGAAATGGTGAAGAAAAATATGATGGGCTTACGGTTTACGAAGAAAAGGAATGAAAAGGACAAGTTTATCCTGAAAAACTCAATTTTTTTTTCACCAGAAAACTTTGGAGCTTCAGCAGTGAACAAGGGGATTCAACGGGAAAAACTCATCAGAAATTGTGACCCAAAGGCCTCATGTTTTGGTCACGTTCAATATTTGATCATGAAAAAATATGATAATTCTTGGGCACCCCTCATTTGACCAAAACTATGAAAACTATTTGCAGCAAACATAGAAACTTCATGAAATTTAATTATACAAATTTGACCAGGAAAATGGGGACGTATGGGCACTTTGACCAAGAAACACAGATTTTATGAGCAAATCCATTGGGGAGACGGTGATGCAAAGTTGACGTCCAAAATGTGGCCATTTGACCCTTGGTCGTGCTTTGTCCTTGTGTAAATTCCAATGCAGTTTGTTCCAGTAAATCACAGTAAATCCATCTCAACAAGCCCAGGGAAATCCGATGGAAGCCAATTCACATCAAATTTATCTTGTGAAGTTGCTTACGTTGAGAGCCTTTTGGCATGCAATGACTCGTTCGGGATTGCAAATTATACCTGGAATCCACACACACATATCAAAGTGAATGAAAAATTATGCTTAAATAGAGAATAAATTGGAATAAATGAGTCTTTTCATGGATATCGCAAGGCAATGTAGAACTTTCAAACCCGCTACTGGATCCAGTCGTCTCTCAGACTCTCCCAGGTGGCTGAAGCCAAAGCGAAGCCAAAGGCGAAGTTCAAGATGAAGGCCAAAGCTAAGCCCAAAGCCAAAGCCAGAGCTGAGGACCTGCCTCGCTGCGGTTGGTTGTGCAGCGAAATGGTAGAGGATCTATGCTCATAAGATTTCAGAAGATCCCATGTTTTGCTCATGTTTCTGGAGGAATCGCTACGGTCAGAATTGCTTGGTGGCAGGAGGAGGAGAGCTACAGCGACGAAGATTGAAAGAATAATGCTCGAAATCCATTCCCTGCAGAAAAATTATTAAATAAAGACCAAATAACGTCAAACAATGCCAAAAATAATGTTAGATATATTAAATATGATCTTTTTCCCCATCTTCCAGGTAAGGGTTACAATTTAATGGAACATATCAGACCCGAATCCCATATTAAATAAAATATCAAATAGAATACTAGATAAGATATTATATATATATAATAATATTATATTTATAATCAGAATTTATTTTTAATAATATTAAATACAATATTATATAAAATATTGTATACAATATTAAATTATATAATGTTAACACCGGATTAATAAACCCCCCCTCCCCCCCTATAGGTTAACTAGGTTAACAAGGTCCAATCAGAAGGTCCAAAAACAGAACCCCCGAAATAATATATCTATATATTTATCTACTAGCGCTAGCGTTAAGTCGTATCAGCTTGTAAAAGTCGTATCGGGAGGCCGTGCGCCTGGAAAAAGTTCAATTTTGGTATCACCACAACTTTTAGTAATTGAACGATTTCATTGTTTTGGGGCCGTGCGGCTGGAAAAAGTTCATTGTTTTTTATTGCGTTGATTTTTTAAAGAATATATTTGATCATTCTTTCAAGGGGGCAAACGCTGGTTGCTGCTTGCCTGCTACTTGCTGCTGCTTGCTGCTGCTTACCTGTTGCTGCTGACCTGCTGCTTGCCTGCTGCTTGCTGCTCCATGCTGCTGCTTGCTGTGCCTCCTGTTACTTGCCTCTTGCTTCTTGCCTGTTGCTGCTTGCCTGCTGCTGCTGCTGCCTCCTCCTCCTGCTGCTGCTGCTTCCTCCTCCTCCTCCTGCTGCTGCTGCTTTGTTCTGCTGCCTGCTGCTGCTTGCCTGTTGCTGCTGCTTCCTCCTGCTGCTGCTTCTTCCTTCTGTTGTTGCTGCTGCTGCTTCCGCCTACTGCTGCTGCTGCTGCTTCCGCCTGCTGCTGTTGCTTCCTCCTGTTGCTGCTGCTTCCTGCTGCTGCTGCTGCTGCTTCCTGTTGCTACTGCTTCCTCCTGTTGCTATTGCTTCCTCCTGCTGCTGCTGCTTCCTCCTGCTGCTGCTGCTTCCTCCTGCTGCTGCTGCTTCCGCCTGCTGCTGTTGCTTCCTCCTGTTGCTGCTGCTTCCTGCTGCTGCTGCTGCTGCTGCTTCCTGTTGCTACTGCTTCCTCCTGTTGCTATTGCTTCCTCCTGCTGCTGCTGCCTCCTGCTGCTGCTGCCTCCTGCTGCTGCTGCCTCCTGCTGCTGCTGCTTCCTACTGCTGCTGCCTCCTGCTGCTGCTGCCTCCTGCTGCTGCTGCCTCCTGCTGCTGCTGCCTCCTGTTGCTGTTGCTTCCTCCTGCTGCTGCTGCTTCCTCCTGCTGCTGGTGCCGCTCGTGCAAACATTTTGCCGAAACAGAAAATAATAGTCTCGGTCGCCTTATTTGGTACTGACGGGAGGTACGGGCGGGAAACTTCAGCAGAGAGGGAATGTTTTTGGCTGGTTGGAATGAAACATTGCGGTCGCATAGCGCGGTTGTGTCGTTGTGCTCACCATCTGCGCCATCTCGCGCCATCTCGCAAGACGGCGCAGGCGGCAAGACGGCGCAGGCGGCAAGACGGCGCAAGACGGAACAGACACAACAGACG